CCCTTTATTCAGTCCTGGTGAGGCCACATCTGGAGTGCAGTTCTGGGCTCCCTGGGACAAGAGAGACATGGAGCTCCTGGAGCAGATCCAGTGGAGGGCTGTGGAGACGATTAAGGGACTGGAGCATCCCCTCTTATGAGGAAAATCTGAGGGAGCTGAGCCTGTTCAGCCTCTGGAAGAGACAATTGAGAGGGGACCTCATCAGTGTCTTTGGGGGGGTTGTCAGGGGATGGACCAGGCTCTGCTCGGTGGTGCTGAGCAACAGGACAAGAGTAACGGGCAGGAACTGATGCACAGGAAGTTCCACCTGATCCTGAGGAAGAGCTGCTTTACTGTGACAGTGACCGAGCCCAGGATCAGGCTGCCCAGAGAGGGGGTGGAAAGAACGGGAATAGGAACAGTCTGGATGCAATCCTGTGCCATGTGGTCTAGGATGACCCTGTTTGAGCAGGGAGGTTGCATCAGATGGCCCTCTGTGGTCCCCTCCAACCTGACTCATTCTGTCATTCTGTGTATTGACAGGTATAAAACCTTATCTAGAGTCTGTCTTCCCCTGGGAGCATGATATAGTTTATTACTGGCTCAGTCATAAAGCTTCTTCACTATTTTAGCAAAACTATCTGAACAGACAGTGCTGGAGTTCTGGGTTTAAAGTCCTGACAGCATCAATTACTTCTTCAAACCTCTTTGCTCTCCAACCCTAAAAATGTTTTTTAGTCAATCAAAACCATGTCCCTTCTCCCTCCTCCCAGCTAAGTGACATTACAGATCCATCCAGCAAGACTTTGCTGTGCTCTTTAAAGAGTGATCTTCATTCTCAGGCATGTCTCTGCCTAATACATATCTATCTGTAAATTAAAGCAAATGCTTCAGTGTATTGCGCTGTGTACAACAGCCAAAGCTTTTAATCTTTTTTTTTTTTTTTTTTTTTTCCCAGGGTAACCACAGGAGAGGGGGAAAAAAAAAAAAAAAGTAGGAGCGAGGGAAAGAAAACAACGAAAGAATTTTGCAGATCCTTCTGATCTGGAGAACTAGGCATAAAGCAACAAGGAAAATGCTGATTGATTAGGGATGTATATAAGATGAAAGACCAATGCCACGTTAAGTAACTCCCACCAAAACCAGGAAGAGCCAGCACTAGAGAATATTATTAGTGGGGTACTTCTTGCTCAGGACAAGCTTGGTTGAATAAGGCTGGGAGATAACACTTTCCAAATGCTCAAGGACTGGTCACATGTTCTACCATTCCAGTGGAGGTGCTTTTTGCTCAAGATGAGGGTATCTTTAGTCCTGACCCAGTAATGTGCTGTGAACAATAAGCCTGTTTAATCTGGGCTTTGTTTTAGTCTACCTAGGTGTCCCACCCGTGGCAGTTCCTGTGAATCAGATTTCAGAATGCCTGGCTGTGAGCACCTGTTGTTCTAGGAAATATATATGTCCTACAACGTACCTTTCTGATGTGGTGCTTATCTCTTCTGATGGACGCTTTCTCTCTCCACTCAGTTCCTTACTTCCCTTCTGGTTCTCCCTGGTCACTGGCCTGAAATCACAAACCACACGGTGGTGTGGGATGGGTCTGGCCGAGAGCATCCCTCCACAAAGAGGAAAGGCTGGACCGAATGGTCCATCCCAGGTCAAAATTATTTGGTCATAGAATTTTTTATTTTAGTGAGGTTATAATTAACTGGGGGAAAAAGGACTGTCAAGTCAAAGAAAAATGCTTAGTCTTGAGCAAATGGAGCTAATCTTGCATTGTAAGGTCATGTTATTTTTAAACTGTGTTTCTGTAGCACTTTTTATAAAGCCAGTTTGGTCTTTTCTGTGATCTGTGTTTACAAGCCAGTGAAATGTATGAGCATATGGAATCACAAGTGAAAAAAGATGACTCCTAATCCTGGTCCCTCTTTCTAAAAATATCTTTTCAGAAAATGCCATGGAATGAGAAATCTTTTTGCCTTCAACCATCTTTCAATAAATTAGTTCAGCTCCTGTGACTGAAGTCAGATACTCCTCACTCCTGTCAGGTATCTCTGAGATTCCTGGGGCCAGTCTGCCTTGGTTGCATCACCATGAAAATCAGAACTGTGTCTGAGGTGGAGCAAACTGCACTTTGGGTTGTCATTATTACCCTCGGGCAGCGGGTCCTCTGCCTGTTCTTCGTTTTAGCCAACTAAGGGCTTTCTGAAATGGGGCTTTTGCAGTAATGTCAGTCTCTGCCAGACACAGCAAAGGTTTGGGCTGTTTCTTCCAAGTCAGCTGATCCAAGAGGAGTTGCTAATCCCAGTGGCAATGAAATTTGACCCATCTTCAGGGTGTTGATTCTTTTTCTCTTGCTGAAGATAAGACCCTTATCTTTGTCCAGTTTGGGTAAGCATGGGCTCCATATCCCAGACAGCAGAGGAGTGGAGTGTACCCTGAGCTGCTCAAGCCTTAGAAAAAAAAACCTATAAGCTCCTTGAAAATGGATGTTTTTTGAACCTGGGAATAGATATATAACAGTCTTGTTGCTAAGCATTTTATAAACTTGACCGGTTAAAAGGCTTATAGATAAAATTTGAAAAAGCAGGGAGGTGCCGAGTTAGACAATTCAGAATTGACAAGAAAGCTGCCGTTTTTTTTTTGTTTTTTTAAGTTCTTTCACATCGCCTTGTTTGTGATTTTCAGTTATTTTGCAACAGTGTTTTTTCTTTACAAGATGAAAAGTCTGTATTAGCTTTTAAAACTAGGGTGTTAATTGAAATGGTCACAGAGGCTGCTGATTGATAGTGAACACTTCTCTATCCTGTATCCCTCTGGGATTTGCCACCACCCCTGGATATTTTAGTTGTTTTGAGGAATGTTTTGTTTATTTTATGAAACTGTGCATAGGGCATGAGGATCTGTTTCCAGAGTAAGAGATTTACCTTGCAGAACTGAATTGCTCTTTGCTGTCAGCCAGACTGAACTAATATTTTTGGAAAAAAGAAAAAAAAAGAAACTGCATCTCAGTTTGATTCTGATGCTTTCTGCCATTCCAATTAAAATATCAAAATCAAAGTCTTCGTTTATTGTGTTAACTGAAATTTGCTTTTCAGTTTGTACTTTGAAAACAAACAAGAGAAACAGAAGGAAAATTCTAATTTAAAAGAGGAAAAATATATTTCTTTAAAAAAAAAGTTTCTGCAGTAGTGCAAAAAACTACTTGCAGTACTTAATAAAATCAGATTTTTAGCAACTCCCTTTAAAATATTTCTTTATAGTTTTTTGTTTGTTTGGACTCCCCAAAAACGTGACATTCAGTCAGATTCAGGAAGATGTTTCAAGTTACAGTTAATGTGTTTTCTATCCAAAAGTATGAATATATCTGTGTTTTTTGTGGATTGGGCTTTTGTCAGCCAAAGACCATGAGGAGAGCAGGCTGAATTTTGGAATTTTGTATCTCAAGCCCACCAAAAGGAAATTTGTGCGTTTTATTCAAAGCACGTTGTGTTTTCCATTAGATTACACTGGCTCAGGGCTCAGATCTGTGTGTTCTCCTTCACCCAGAAACATTTGTTTTCTATGAGCAAGGACTGCAGGGTTGGGACTTAGGAATAAGATTTCATTGTACTGTTAAATACAGATTTCATACTGGTTTTCATATTGATTATTCCCTTCTGCAGGAAATAGTTATGGTTTGATAGGATTCTTGCCATTTTTTAGTGTAAGGGGCAGTCACCCTGTCCTTGCAGGACAAGAATCAAGTAGATAAAGTATGTGAAAACAAAGGAAAAAGATGTAAGGACAAGAATTAATTCTGCTTTTCAGGCTGACTTCTACAAACCAGTTATAGCTATTGTTAAACTCTTTGCAGCTTTATCTTCGGAAGCAGATCAAACTGTCCTTGTGTTTTCTCCATGTTTAGCCGAGTCTTTGGTTAGTAGAGAGGATGAACCAAATAAAAAAAAGTGTGAAGACAGAAAAAGGCCAAAAAGAAATGAAAGATCTGATCACGTAACTCACCTGATATGAACTTGCCATCAGTATGAACACTGGGAGTTCAGTTTTTCCTGATGTTCTCCCTATCAATTTTCACTCAACCACGTTACTCAATGGCTGGTTTTCTTCAACAGGAGAGCTTTTCCCAGAGACACTTGCAACTGAAAGGGCAGGTTTTTGGAAAGTCTATAAAGTGAAATGGTCAGTGAAATGAACAGTGGAAACAATGGAGTGACTGGGAATGGGGAAAAACTGACCTTCTGTAGAGTGGGAGAGTGACTTCTGTCCTCTGAAGTGTGCTCAAGGGAAAACAGCTTTTAGGAGTGTGGTGAGTTGGAGAGTCATGTCAAGGAGCTCGGAGGATGTTACTCATGCAGAGAAACTGTGGAAGGAAACAGAGAGCGAAAAGCCAAGTCTCAGATGTAGAAAGGACTTGGGACCAAAGAGGACTGGGCAGTTGGCATCTCAGGAAGGCACTGAGTTGGAGGGAAAACAAGCTGCAAGAGCATATCCATAAGGGCACAGAGGGCAGCAAGGAGCAGTCCATTTCAAGGAGCATTTGACGCTTGGAATTGTTTCCATCTAAAAAAAAAAAATAAATCATCCAGGTTTATACTGAATCATTCCTGTCACAATCATGTGAGTTAGTAAGGCTGAAACAAAATGCAGTACCCAAATCTGAAGATCTGCTGTGAACCGCTCTCGTTAAAATTTAAAATAGCCTTTTCCCCTCTAGCCTTAACCCCCTCTAAAACAGAAACAAACTCTGTGGGAAAAAAAAAACATCTTCTGGCTGTGGCTTAAATAACAGAATTCAGGAGAGGTGTAAGACTTGCATTTGATTCTTACTCCTTTCAGTTTCTCTCCATGTACTCAGGTGAAGATCAGCCTTAGTTTTGGATTTCTCAGCTTTGCTCACTTTGAATCACAGTTACCAAGTTTTCTAAACACTGTGGGGTTTGCTTGAAATGCTTGCTTTGATCTGAGAGTGACTCAGAACAGCAGACCTGAAAGTGTAACTGAGCTTGATTTCTCTCCCGCAGAAACCCAAGAGGATGGGATGATGGGGCATGTCTGGATGCTGTTAGTTCATCTGCATGTGAACAAGAGAACTCCAGTTTATTCCCCCACTACATACTGCAAACAGAGTAAGTTATGCTCTCTGAGGTAACTGATAAAGTTGTTATTAGTAAGCTGTGATCGTAAATTGTTATCTAGCTCTCCAGTGATCTTGCTTGATAAACTAACACCTGATTAGAAAATGTGTGTCAAATCTTAATATTTTTCAGATGCTTTCAAAACTCTTCCTTTTAAGTTTCTTGGGAAGCAAGTGGAGCTTGCCTTGAAATGGAAGAGAGGTTTCCAAATAACTTTGAGGGATTTTCTGTGAGCTGCATGGATGAAGGAGAATATTTGTCTCTTCCCTGTGGCAGCAGAGAACCTCAGTTTTGCTGCAGCTTTCAATTATTCTGCTTTTCCAGTCAATATTTTTCAAATGTGATTCAGTGAAGACGAGACAGGGTGGTCAGAAATCAGGTGCAGCTTGACAGATGGCACAAGAGATTTCCAAAAGCATCTGAAGGACATATGGGGGGGGGGGGAATTCTTTGATCTCAGCTAAAAGAGAGAGAGTCCAATCAATTCACACAGGCTGCTTCTTACACTGATCCCAAACCATGGGAGACTTAGGCCACTGGAGCTCCACTGAGCTGGAAGCAGTTACTTGGGGCTTGCGCTGATGTGAATCTGGCCCAAGGTGCCCACAGATTGGCCCTGACCTCGTCTTTCGAGCAAGAACAGAACTATCTTGTGCTATTTACAGACAACTTGAAATGAAAAATCCTGCGTAGCTCGGTTGCTTTATGGTAGAGCTTCCCAGCTGTGACAAATGGCTTTGGGAGGTTCCACTTTGGGGTGCCAGTGCTGGTGCAGCGAAGCAGGGCCCCAAATGCTCTGAGCACTTCTCTTCTGAAGATCAAGCGGTTTGTTTTAAGCCTCTGAAAATGCAGGCACTTAAGCTTTCTTTGAGTCTCTTGGCCCTGGGAATTTGGCCACAGACTGCTGACTTTGTTTGATTTTTACAGTACTGTGGGATTGTGTAATGAATTTTGTTTCTGGTGTTTTGCACTCGTAAACAGCAAGAAAAAGCTCCTCGTTTTAATGACCACTTTTCTCTCCCTGTCCTACTCCCTCTCTGAATATGATGGCGTAAATGAATATGAAACAAAACGCACTCTGCCTTTCTCTAAACACTTCAGACATGATAACGATACCACAGTTGCAAGTATTTTTTCCCTTCCTCCCCAGCATTTGTACTGAGCTTGTCTGAGCGAATCTTCTACCTTCATGGCTTTACATTCGTGATCTCTCTGATACGTGTCCTTTCTCCAGAGGCTCTGCCCAAACTTTCTTTCCTGAATAGGTGATGTAATTGCGAGTCACGTACTGGTAGGCAAATTTTAAGCTCAGGCATTGTGGTTGTATCTCCTTAAAACCATTGGTATCTTCTCTTTTTCTGCTATTCTGTGGTTGATGTCTTTTTCCTTATTGGTTCAATTTTTTTCTTGATTCTGCCTCTTCTGGCCTTTATGTTAAAGGAAGAGCATACTTAGAATTTGTCCAAACCACAGAAAGCTTGTTTGTGTGTTGTCAGGGTTTTCTGAACTGAGGCTTCTCTAGGCAATACCTGATATATTTTCCGGTCTTAAAGTGTCAACAGCGCCAACCTCTTTTTAGCATGTTGGCAGTGAAACAAAACCAAACATGGTCTGTTTTCTGCTCATTCCTTATGCCCTGTGCTCATGAATGGCCTTGTGGTGAAAGGAATGGGTAGGCTTTTAGCTAGATCCATCAGCCGAATGGAGCAGCTGCATTGAAACTCACGTGGTGGAAGAGAGAAGTTAGGAATCAGCAGTTAAGGTGCTGAAACTGCCAGCATGGTTTGATTCTACTTCAGTTCCTTTAGTGCAAGTATGCTTGTAGCAGCCACCGGCTGTGCCACTAGCCAGCGTGCAGGCCCCATGCTGGAGAGCACTCAAAAGCACACCATGAACAGCCTGGCTCCTGCACAGTTAGGAGTCACAGAACGATGTGGGTTGGAAGGGGACCTTGAGGATCATCTCGTTCCACCCCCCTGCTATGGGGAGAGACACCTTCCAGAGCGCTTTCCAACCCGGCCTTGGACACTACCAGGGATGGGGCAGCCACAACTGCCCTGGGCGACCTATGTTAGTGCCTCATCACCCTCACAGGGAAGAATTTTTATCTCAGTACCTAATCTAAACCTACTGTCGCTCAATTTGAACCCATTCCCCCTTGCTGTGTCACTCCTGTAATCTTGGGGTGATTTCTCTGGAAGGATTTGCTATCTTCCAGCTGGTGTTTGGCCTGTGTTGCAAACCCCGTGACAGCACTCAGAGACCAGCCTGAAGAGAAGTGTTGCAAGGGTGCCTAAGCAAGCACTGCTCTGAAGAGGGGCGGGCAGAGGTGGGGCTGCACCTGGGACTTCTCATGGCAGAATAAATGGGATGGTCTAGGGCAGTGCTGTGCAGTCAATCCAGCACGCCTGCTGTGCCTCTGTTCTCTTTCCTTGTGATCTGCAAGAGCATATTGCCAGCACCACATCTTGAAGAAATACACACAAGCAGATTTTTGTTTTTCTCCTGTGTTGTTTAAACTTCAGTTACCCATCAGCAGCTTTCAAGATGACAAGAATTTTGACAGCTTGCAAAGTGGTGAAGACTTTGAAAGGCAAATTGAAGTTTTGCAATGTGTCTGCTGATCACTGGAGTTTCTCAAGGACAGGTCCCAGGCTGTTGAGCATCAAGGTAACAGTGACTGAACTACTGTGGTTTAATAGATGGGTTTGGCATGCAGAGGTAGCTTGCTGCAGATAACAGGGGCATGAACCAGAGGGGATTTGTCTGAACCCCAAGCAAGGGGGTCGCTTGGCTAAATGATTTCATTAGCTAAGCAAACACACTTTTTGTGTAGTCTGGAATGGAAATTATAGAATAGATTGCACCAAAAGGTGGAAGTTCAGGATTTCAGTTAATTATTATATGTTCTTTAGAAACACCCCACCCTTCTATAGGACTGATAGCTACCAGAGTGGATCTTTCAATCCACATGGGCACGAATCGGCTGGTTATTTAAAATCGTGCATCCCTTGAATCATTTGATTAATCCTATTGAATCCACACAGAATCTGTTCTCCATATATTGGAAACAGCCATGCCTACCTCTTCAATTAATCTCAGAGCCATCTCTTTGTGGATGCATCAGGGTATCAGTTCTTGATTTACTGGGGCTGGGACCCCTCAGTTCACTTCCTCAGCTTTCTTCTGCTCTTTGTTACAGGAGTTGCATTTTACCATCTTTGCTGCTGTTACGTGGACAGGCGTGGCGGAGTGCAGGAGTCAAATGGGACTTTCTGCATCAGTTCTGTAGATCTGGGGGTGTTCTGTTAGCACGCACTTTGCCTTGAAAAGGCACTTTTGCACATGTATCCTGTTGAATGAACAGTGTGATAGAATTAGCAACTGGAGGAGTGGTGTTTCAGAGGGTGGCAGGAAAGAGCATTTAGAGAGTTGGGCTGTGGGTGCTGCATTACCTGGCTGGGTGGTCTGGAGGGCTGATCAGTATAATTTATGTTCACTGAGGACTAGGGTTTTGCTTAGCTACGCCATAGGAAAAATGAGGTCTCACTCATTTTTCAGGAGTTCTCAGATGGTATTATCTCAAGGTATTAAAGAACCATATATATATATATATATATTTATACATTTTTAAGTAAAACTCCCGGCTGAGCCTGTGAGCTTGTGGCTCCAGGACTGGAGTGTTACAAGTTCTCACCAGGCTTCTAACAGGGCAGGACAGAGGTCCTGCCCAAAGCCCATTTGGAGGCACCCAGGCCATTTCTGTGCTTTGCAATGCTTTAAGTGTGTGGCAGCTGTTTGTAGTCATAGGTGCAGTGAGACTGGGGACCTGACCAACCTGTCACTTTAATTTTATCTAAACCTGGGGGATTTAGCTGCAAAAACGCTCTTTGTAACTGGGGAGGGAGGGGATTTTGGTAGTGTGGACTAAACCATCCAGTGGCATGGGAAGGTGTAGAAAATGAAGGCTAAACTTTTGGAGAATTACTGGATGTTTGACATTAATGAAGAAACAACGGCAAGGCTAAAAGCATCCCAGATGCACAGAATTCAATTACTTGGCAGTACAGTTGATTTTTAGTGTATTTTGCAGTACATTAGTAATTGATCTGTGTGGTATTTGTAACTGCAGAGGGGCTCTAAATGAATGTTTGTCATGATGGTTACAAAATGTTCAATACTGGGAATGAAATTCCTCCTTGCTGCGATTGTTCATGTGATTTACAGCTAATGGAAAGTAGCTCTCCTGCTCCCTTCTACAGCAAATAGATCTTGATTCTTCCTTTAAAAATCCCAGTAAGAGGAATGGTTCTGTAAAAAAAGCCAATATGAGGCTAAATCATGGTGAGATATGCTCCCTGTGGACACGCTTGGGACATCTCCTGTGGCGCAGACCTCTGGGGTTTTTGCACTGGTGGTCACTCTGTGCCCAGGAGGCATCTGTGCTTGCCTTCCAGAAGTGGAAGAAGTTTTCTCAGGGCCCTGAAGTTCATCATCTAAATTCCTTTAAGCCCTAAAATTTGCTGGCAGATTTATTTCCAGCTTTGCTAACTCTTTCTCTTCCCCAGCATATCACCAGTGATCCTCTGTCTAAGGGAATCTCCCAACTTGTTCTGTCATTTCTGCTGTGCATGCAGCAATTACTTTTTAATAAAAGCTGGAGTTCCCAGGTGATTTCTCATCCAATGCCTGGACAGTCAAAGAAAGGCTTAGTTTCAAAATGAGGCCAAAGAGGGTGTGTTTAGTCTGGTATGTGCAAAAACCCAGCTGTGACACTGAATCTCTTGAGGACTTCTGTAAAATTCACTCTGTGTCTCGTTTCCCTTGGCTGTAAAATATTGATGAAGCCTGTAAGGGATCCCACAGTTAGTGTGGGACTCAGTTCTGCTAAATACTCTCTGGAAGAGATACAGTTTCCTGTAGACTGCTCGTTCCATAGCTACCTCTTCCAGGACAATTTTTGCCTATCCCTGAGGTAACTGAGACCATGAGTGTCCAGCTCATCCGTGAGTTCTTCTGGTTTTATGTTCTACAGTGGAATAGAGTGGTATTTTGAATTTTGCTGGTCTGACACCAACTAAACATACACTTATTTTTAGCAGCTCAGATGTACAGTTGCAGCAGAAGTTAAACACCTATCAAAGATCAGAGCTGGACGGGATCCAGCAGACTCAGCAGCAAGCCTTGAGCAAACAGTCACAGGGTTGTGGTGTTGGTTAATTGCAAGATATAAGAAAGAAGCAAAGTGATGGGGAAGGGTGATCCCACATTAACAGCAGCACGTGCTCTGCTTGCAGTGAGGTTTGCCAGCTCGTTAGGAGTGCAGTGTTTCCCAAGTGTTAGAAAGAAAATTGGCATCATGAGACTGGTAAAAGAGGTATGGCAGGTGGGAATGGGAGAGAGGCAGGAAAGGCAGGTGTCCCAGGTGTTACCTGTATAAACATCAAGTCTTTTCCTCCTGTATTTGAGTCTCTTCATGTGCCTTCCTCTAGGCGCAGACAGCGAACTTGGTGCTGGAAGATGGGACGAAGATGAAGGGCTATTCTTTTGGCTATCCATCCTCCACAGCAGGGGAAGTCGTATTCAACACTGGGCTCTCTGGGTAAGGCAACAGCAAATGAGATGCAAGCATCAGTGCTTCTCTGGAAGCTTGTTGAAGTGTCAAAGCTGCGTTTTCCAAGCTCGCAGGGTCCTGATCGAAGCAGGTAGTTTTCTGTATAATGCTACATTGTAGTCCAGAGGTACAGAGAGACAAATAAGTAATGAAGAAGCTTCAGGCAGTTCTCTTAGGTCATAGCATCTGTGGTGATAAGGGCATTTAAAGAGTGATCTAACTAACTGTGATGGTGAGGTACTATCATATGGGATAATGTGATCATTTCCCACTGAAATGCAGCCACTGCTGAGTCAGAGCAGAGGAGGGGTCTGTTCTCCCTCCGGTGCCCAGATCAAATATAGAGGTTTGAAGCATCTGCAGCCTTCTGGGTAATGGAAATTGGCCTCTGAGTGCAAAATTTTTAAATCCTGAGGTTCCTATGTTGGTCACGTGTATGACCCATCCCTTATGACATTTGCTGGCTCATAGCACTAAGGATGTGCCCTTTCCAGCTAAAGGGTAGGGTTCATGTCTGAGCTAGTGTATTGGGTCTGGCTGAGATGGGGTTCATTTTCCCACAGCAGCCCTCACAGTGCTGTGCTTTGCGTTGGTAGCTAGAAAGGTGTTGATAGCACAGCCAAGACACTTTTTGGCTACTGCTGCTGCAGTGTTGGCAAAGCATCAGCACTGCCTCTCAACATTCCCCTTAACTCCCCCCTTAATCAAGAGCAAGATCCTGGGAGGGACACAACCAGGCCAGACCCAAACTAACCAAAGGGGTATTCCAGACCATATGATGTCAGCTCAGATATAAAAGCTGGGGAAAGGAGGAGGAAAGCGGGGCGTTCATTGTTTACAATGTTTGCCTGCTGAGCAACTGCTATGCGTGCTGAGGCCCTGCTTCCTGGGAAGTGGCCAGACACGGCTCACTAACGGCAAGTAGAGAATAAACTTGTTATTTTCCTCTTTGCTTGTGTGTGCACAAACTTGTGCTTCAGTAAACTGCCTTATCTCAACCTGTACATTGCTTTCCATCTTCTTCTCTCTCCCTTGTCTGTCTGGAAGGGGTAGCTTGGTAGACACCTGGTGTCCAGCCAAGGTCAACCCACTACACCCAGCATGGTTTTGTCCTCCTGAGTGTGGGAAGCCTGTGGCTAACTGAGGATGGCAGCCAAATCTTACTGGTCCTTTTATTGAACTGCTTAAGCAGAGGAAATCTGCCCAAAGAAATGAAACTTTTGATAAGGACACGGACATGGCCATGGGGAGGTGAGACGGCTCTGAAGTTGTTGGTGCTTGAGCTTTTTCCACAGTCATTCATAGCAGTCTTTGCTCAGCTGCCTTGTGTTTTCCAAGTTCTTCTCTGCTTTGGAGAAACCAGTATTCACAGGATGAGTTTTTAAATTATCTCCTTGGTGAGAATGTTATGTTTCTGCTGAGGGGAATCAGTTTGCGAAGTTTTGCATTAGGAGGCAATTATTTAAGTGTTTTGACAGCACTAATTACTGTCTGAGTTAATATACCTGCCAACAAGCCACTGTTTAATATAGATCAGAATGATGGAGGGCACCAGAGTTCTCTTCTTAGTGATAGATTATGGGCAATAAATCTTGTCACATCTCAAAAGTCAAGGAGGACCTGATGAATTATTTCCTCTCCACATGTTACTGTGGAAGAAGAAGCTGTGTTTGTTTGTATTCTCGTGATTTGGAGAGGATGCCTGTGAAAGTGAGATTTCTTCTGTGCTGGGAAGCGTATGGGTGGGCACAGAGGGAATATTGAAAATGCAAGGTTGTATCTTCAGAGCCCTCTCCAGAACATGACCTTGATTGATTCAGAGAAAAGGAAGATGAAAGAGTGAGCAGCACTGTTGCAGAACATAAAAGTGGCAGATTTGCTACCAGTCCCCAGGTTGTTGTCTATTGAAAGAAAACCTACAGCTCTGCCTTCGCCTCCTGAGCACAGAGATCAAGACCTGTGCGTCCAGAGGAACCCAGCTACCTCTTCTCGCTGACTCAGGGAGAGGTTAAGTGCCCGTGTGAAGGAGGTGCCCAGGGCCGGGGCATTTTCCAGCCTGCCTGGGTACGCAGCAGTTTGTCAGGATGGGGAGCAAGAGGTTCGTGCAGGGGTGTTTTGGCCACGGCTGCTGTTCAGCGTCACTGGTTTCTGGGAAGTGGGTGTTTGTAGGTGCTGAGTGGGGCCAGCGTGGGCTCCGTCCTGGGGTGATCAACACCTTGCAGTGCACCCTGTCTACTCATCTGGACTCCCACATCCTGATTCATGTCATAGAACTGGAAGGCAAAGCACTTTATGTGCATACAGCTCCCAGGCTTGAAGCAGCTAAACCTGGCTGAAATGTTGTCATAACACGCTGGAAGAGAGGGCAGAGAGCACTCTTTTGGGGTTGAAATGTTGAGTGTTCATTTGAAAAGCACGAGGATGAACTTCTCAGAAGCGTTTGCTCAAAAAAAAAAAAAAATAAACCTAGTGTTTCAGCCATCTGTTCAGTATAGGAACACGAAGAAAAAGAGGAGATTTCCCATTAAGAAAGAATTACGAACCATAAAACGTTCCCATATTTGAAACAGCTCAGTAAATGCATTTGCCTCCATTAAGTCTCTTTGTGTTTCCCATGGCATTTTAGTGGGAGAATGGATTGACAGGAATTTACTGAAATCAGACAGGCCTTTGGGCAGGCACAGCAAGGATTAGACCTTGGAGCATATTTGGAGCTCATGTTTGCATCCACCTCTCTGTGCTCCACACAGAGCTTAAAGGGCATTGCATCTCAGTGTCGAGTCCTGCCTGCACACCCCACCCAGAGCCGGTGGCTCTCTGTCCTTGTTTGCTGATTGCAAGTGACATGCAAGGACTAATTACATTACCTTGGTCAGTAACAAAGAATCTTCTGGCAGCGTGATCAGTTGGCTCAGAAGGAGAGAGCGTGTACATGCCATGTGCTTGGTACTTACTGCAGTTCTGTGATCACCCTGCACTTTCTGTGGTTGTTTACCTGCAGCAGCAAGTATAGATTTGAACAGCAGGAGAGGCTTACCTGAAAATATTTCATGGCCGTTGTTCATTTGACCTGTTATTTCTCAGAACTGGTCGGTGTGCTGTGTTTATATCTGCCAGCAACCACTCTGGCTTTTGTGAAGAGTTTCCCAATGTTTGACAATTAATCTTCTGGCATGTGTTCCATAAAAATGTCTCGTGTGACTTGGTGATATCTGATAGATGGCTGGAGTTGCCAATTATGTATTGTTTAAACAGTGATGACAGTAATTAATTATATTTTGCCTAGGGTAAATTCATCCTGAATTGTCCTTATGCATTTGGCTCACTATTTATGTGGATAACTTGATCTGTTGCTAAATTACAGCTGCTTTGGGGTTGAAAGACAGCAATTGTTTAATGGATTGCTGCAAAATATGGTACAGTACAAGAGAGAAAGTGAAGAACAGTGATTTAATTTGAAGCTGAAGAACAGGAGCCACATTTACCCAGTCCCCCAATTTGAGGTTAAAAATGAGATTGGATCTACTAGATCCAGAGCTGATAATTAGCAGAATCCTAGGTTTGGCCTTTTCTGCAGCAAAATATTCCAATATGCTTTTAGATCTCTCCTTGCTGAGGAGGACACTTAGGCAGGGACTTGGATAAATTTCTTTTCCCTAGGGGGTCTACCTGGGCTGAAGATAGGACATGCACCGGGACCTTGTGACCAAAGCACTGTCTTCAACTTGCCTTCTTCAGGGATACACAAATCAGCTTCTAAGCTCTTAGTAGCCTTGTCAGGTGAAACTTGTGATGTTCTGTGGGTGGGAACCTGGAAAACACCTGTAAGAGAGGCCTGGCCTCTGCCTGGAAAAACTGCAGAAGTGGGACTGGGGCAGGGGTTTTTGTTGACAGAGCAGGTAGGAGAGAAGAATACAGAGTAGTAGTGAGGAATCACAAGGATTTGTCTGCATGCTCCCCCACAAAAAAAAAAAAAGCAGTTACAGCTCTGAACATCTCAAGACCTGCAAGCTCCAGAGGGGGCAAGGGACCAAGCCTGGGCAGACAGCTCTGATGTCTGCTGGCTTTTCAGTTCGAGCCTTCTATTGGTACACAGAGGAGAAAGCTTTTACACTGAAAGGAGGGAAGGGTGCAGCAGTGACAAAGCACTGCCCTCACGGTGTGCCCAGGGAATAGTCAAGCCTAAGCTGTTATCTGAGAGTCCAGTGATATGCCGTGCAGTTCTGTGATCTCTCTGCCCTCTGGTAGTTGTTTACCTCATGTTAAATCACAAGGAGTCTGAGTTTGTTGATAGCTCCTGTGCTTTTCTTAAATGAAACACGAGAAGCCAAAGCCTTTCCTTGTTCTCAGTGTCAAATGTTTAACCATAAATGGGAAAGTCAGGGCATGTTCACAGATGTGTTTGCTTTTATTCTGAGAGTGCCTTCACATGAATACTATTTCTGTCCTTTTGTCATATGGGAATTCAGACCTGTCTTGTTTTCACTGGCTCTTTTGTCTTCCTTTCGACTCCAGACCAATGTGCTTTTCTTCTATTGTTTCTTCATCTAGATACACCGAAGCCTTGACAGATCCCAGCTACAAAGGACAGATTCTTACCCTGGCTAACCCCATAGTTGGGAATGGTGGAGTGCCTGATACAGCTACTTTGGATGAAATTGGCCTCAAGAGGTTTCTGGAGTCTGATGGGATCAAGGTAACAGTGGGAGATGCAGAGTTTATCAAAGAGTGGCACCAGCAGCCTGACTGTGTGTTAGAGGTCAAAGGAATCAGTGATCCTCAAGCTTTCTTTTTCTTCTAGATATTGTCCTTTGGAGGACTGGTGGCAAAAGATACTCCATACCGGTTTTTGTGCCAGGGCAAAAATTTGTATTTCCTATCAGTGAGAGACATGCTACGGTTTTTGTGAACTGACATTTTTCTCACCTTCCTCTCTGCCTCATGTATTTGTCAGGAGAGATCCATTTGACTGGAGAGATCAAACACCAGAAGTTTCAGTGGGCTAAGACCCTTCTCTGTGTGCCTGTGCTACCACAAGCAGGGGAGGTGACAGCTGTGTGAAGAAGAAACCAGAATTTACACTGTGGTGACAGGGGATGTTGGTTAGGAGTAGGACTGTGTCCTGGCACCAGTGGCAGAACTGAAAAATGGAACAAACCTGTGTGTAGTTGCAGAACCAGTGAAATGCTTTATCTGTTCTGAGGTTTTATACACTATCAAACTCCACTGGAAAATGGAGCTGTCTTTTGAAATGAAACGTCAATTAAAAGTGAAAAGCTTTCTTACACAAAAAATGAACCAAAACATTTTGTCTTATCTTAAATTTCCATTTTTTATTCTAACAAGAAGTGTTTTCTCAGTTCTGTGCAATTTGCTGCTTTGGTTACCTGGAAACCACATTCTTCTATGAATTTCCTGAGTAAAAAGGCCCAGATACAATCATGACAGAGTGTGAAGTGTGTCTGTGACAGGGTTTATGGTAAATACAATTGTGAAAATTGAAGGTACAGGGTCACTACAAAGTGATCCTTCAGTGCAAAATGATGTTTCTTCTATCTACAGGTTTCAGGTTTGCTGGTGCTGGACTACAGCAAAGAGTACAGCCACTGGCAGGCTGCTAGGAGCCTGGGAGAGTGGTTGGAGGAAGAACAGGTAAGCAAGAGGTAACTACACATGAGCTTTTGATTTTTGTGCTTTTCAGAGCAGAAATGAGATTTTAACAACTAAACTCTTTTTGAATGGGAACAAGGAGGTGAAGTGAAGCACTAGAAGCGAGGCAGCCTTGGTAATACTACAGTCAAGAGCCAGAGCTCCTTGAACAAGGCCAGGCTGGATGGAGCTCTGAGCAGCCTGGTCTGGTGGAAGGTGTCCACATGGCAGGGGGTTGGAACAAGATGATATTTAAGGTCTCTTCCAATCCAAATCATTCTGTGATCCTGCGACATGTTCTTCTCATGAAAGTGATCTGGCTGCTCTCTTGCTCTGTCTTAGCTGCTTGTTTTCTAACTTAGCCCTGTGTTTTCTTCAGGTGCCTGCACTGTATGGGATTGATACTAGAATGCTGTCCAAATTAATTCGTGACAAGGTATGATCTGCTTCCCTTGATCCAGCTGCGTTAACCTGACCAGTGCTGGGCCCTTTTTCTAACGGTGGAGCAAACCTGGGGCAGCAATGGTACCACTGGGCTGCCTTGACTTCAGATGCTGCTCAGATCCATGTGCTCTTCCAAAGGCTCTGTGTCTTCTGTAATGCTGGGCAATGTTCTGATCCCGAGGAGACATCTCTCCTTGGCTCTCCTCTGGGTTTCCTGTCCTACATAAGTGAGCCAGCACAAGCTGGTGTGAATGAAAGGCCTCTGGAAGTGTCAGACACAATAGGTAGATTAATATCAGCTACGTGTTAACTCAGTAACAGTCAGAGAGAGCAACAGCTCTCTGGTGTTGTGGATTATGGTTCACAAATGGAAGTATTATGAGGTATTATGGATTTTAGTTCACAGATGATGCCACCTTTGGTCAGTGGAAATTCTGCTGCTCCTCTGAGTCAAAGGAATGCCTAGAGTAATCTAAGCTGGATTCCTAACTTGGGCTGGTTTCCTTAGGCTGAATCTTGCTATTATTTTTAGGGGTCATTACTTTTCTTTGACTTCCAAAAGCTGACGATTGAAGGACCTGAGCAGGATTATGTTGCAGAATGGAGGTTAATGTGAAAGTACGCTTCACACTGGCTGAAACAGTGATCAAAGTCAGTCTGAATTAAATGTGCCTTGGAGGCTTTTCTTTTCTAATTGATTATGTGAAGCTGCTCTTTTCTTTAGGTGATCAATTTGCAGCCTGCAGTCCAACCCCACATCCCCTTTCATTTCCATAGGAATGACCCAGCTTGAATAGAGGAATATTTGTAGAAATTAATTCTTATGGCAAGGTTTGGCATTGTCCTATCCTTACAGATAGCATACATGTGCAATTTAATACAACAGAAAATGGCAGTACTTAATAGATCAGTATTCCTTTTATCCAAAGTAAATACACTTGAAATGTTTATCCTGTAACTTAGCAGTGTGTGGTAGTAGTGCCATACTGTGACTCTGAGTGGTGTCAGTGTATGGCTTTTAAATAGTGCATAGTCACCTTTTCACACAGCCTTCTCAGGCTGAAAAAAACACTCTAGTATTTAATTCCGTGTCTAAATTGGGGCTGAGAACAGGGATTCATTCTGGTAAATGCAGAAATGAGTGATGACTTGTTAAAGTGGGCTAAAGGTGCAAGGCACCATTTGGCTGAATAATCTGAGAGCAAAGTAAGATCCAGGCTCCTGTCAGAGAGCAAGGGCTTTAGAGCTTTGTCAGCAGTGTTTGCTAAAACAGCATGGTGGCACTCAGCACCACGGCTCTCTAGCACTGCTCAGCGCTGTGGTTCCCAAGAACAGGACTTGTGGAAGACAATGACATTTTCAGCTCTGGTCTGTGCGAAGCTTGGAGCAGCTTTTGGTGTAAGGTGCTACTCAGGGAAACATAAGATGTCAGCCACTGTTAAGAGCAAAACTCTCTCCTTAAAACTTACCCTTAGCAGTGTGCTTGGCAATGCAAGATGTTGGCTCTTTCTTACCCTAGGAAAATGGTATACCCTAGGTTACCTCAGGTATGGCAAACCAGGGAAGTATCTCGTAGGAGAATCACTAAACCCTGATCTACACAGCAGTTTGGAGATCTGAAGGCAACTCAACTTCATGTCACTGCACAGCTTGCCAGACTGCCTGTTAAATTTTACTGCTGATGATGCCTCCCCCCTAAAATGAAGGGTTATAAACAGATTTTTCGTAGCAAGGAAAGCTCATAAACTTCTGAAGGTGCTAAAAGTGATTATAAGCTGCCAAGAAATCATCTTTAAACACCTGTTCCAGTTGCTGTGCCTGTCAGCACGTTGTCTGAGTGTTCACAGCTTCTCTTTTGCTCATTCTTTGTTTTTTTCTGGTGTATTTCCACAGGGCACAGTACTTGGGAAGATTGAATTTGAAGGTCAACCTGTGGAGTTTGCAGACCCAAATAAACGAAACTTAATTGCAGAAGTTTCTACAAAGGTGAGAAATTCTTCTGTAGTATCAGGGCTCTACTTTTAGGGGGAATATATTTTAGGGGAATATATTAGGGGGAATATATTTTAACATTTCTCTGATCCAGCTCCCAGTCTGGTTTCTATCTACACATACTCTTAGCCAGATGTAGGGGTCAAGTTAGGTCTGTGCAGTACAGAGTGCAACAAGTGGGGGAACAGTTGTGGAGGCAGCAACACCTAAAATTAGTTCTGCTGCTGAAGGAAATGTAACAAATCACAGCTAATTAACTGGGCAGGGAAGAGTTTTAAGGGTGAGAGGAGGTACCTCAAAGTAGTTTTTTCCCCACAGCTCCCTTTGGCTATGAGAACAGCCAGGGACCACCTTTGAAGGCAATCTTTGCTTCATAATGTAGATTTTTAAGTATGAACGTTGTGACAAAATGAGGGGTCTTCAAAAGCCGCTTTTGAAAAAGAGGGTGAGTTTTTCTTAAAGGTCTCTGACCCATGACTCTAAGTTGTTGTGAGAACTGAGTACCTTAATCTTTTTGAGATTTTTGAAACTCGCCTTCCTGAAGGACAGCAGGTAGAAGACTCATATAATTCCTGTGCAGTGATAGAGTTCTACCATGGACTGGGGAAGCAGAAGCCACTTGTGTATGAATGACTGTGAAGATACCATCATTTGATATCAGGAACCTGTTAAAACCCACCCTGTCAGGCAGCAGTAACTTTTGTTTTATTATTAAATCCCTTGGAGTGAATTAAAATGAATTGTACTAAATGATCAGGTCTTACATATATATATATATGGTTTATTTTAGAACGATTTGGTTGCAAAGGAAACAGTTATGCAGCCGTTTTGGTTTTTATCATCTATAGTAACATGCCAATATAAAGGTATTGCAAAGGAAAACAGGTATTTAGCTGTTATAGCCACCCAAGAAAATGCACCTAAACAAGCATCTCACACCCAAGACTTTGCCCTTTGAGCCTCACAAATCTAACAGTTTGTGGGCTGTGATCCCCTCCCCTCGGTCTTGTCTTCAGTCTCCTGGCAGCAGCTTCTTTGGACAGCTGTCCTCACACAGGCCATGCTCTTGCACCCTAAAAATCTCTGCATCTCAATCTTTGCAGAGATAAATGTTCAAACAAAAAGTGAGTTAGGATAACACAGAGGGAAGAGTTGTAATATTCTGCTAACAAACTTCATCTTGAGTTTCCTGTTGAGGGGATGTCTTCCCTTGGCTGGTCATAATTCTCCTATGAAAAGATTCAGTTTGTCACCCTGCACCAGCCATACTGAACATGGATTTTAGAATCTTTTCATAAGAGGGCCCAGCTGTGAACTATGAATACCAGGGAAGCTGACTAAAAGGTGGTTTCTTGGGAAAAAAAAAAAAAAAAGAAAAAAAAAAGACTTTTTTCCCATGATGGCCATGAAAAAAAGCCCCTTAGGGCAAAGTACATTTATCAATATCAGCTCTCAGAAGCTGAGCATAACTGAAGGTAAGCACACAGTTTGTTTTAGGGGGAAGAAGGCAGCCTTATCTTATTGATGAATAACTTCCCAGCCTGGTGCTACCTGCAGTCATGTAACAAGTAAAATAATACAGCAAGCTTCAGAAAGCAGCTGTCCATAAATAATGTTACATCAGTACTACAGCTGTCTGACAGTGTGTCTGCATGTTGCAGTATCAAGGCATATATAACATACAGTGGTTTGACTTCACTCTCTTCTATTCTGGCTGTGACCAAGAGATATCTGGGTGTACAGAGGCACCATGGTCAAGATTTGGGAAACACTAATGTCTGCACTGTTCCTGGAGATTTCTATGTAAATGGATTAGTACCAGTTGCTGCACGTTGGTGTAGAGTCATTCTGCTGCCCATCTTCCCTGTATTTTGGGGATAGGGCATCATCTGTCATTAACAGCGTTGTCTGTCTTCTTATAGGAAGTCAAAGTTTATGGCAGAGGGAATCCAATTAAAGTTGTAGCTGTCGACTGTGGGTTGAAGCACAACATTATCCGTCTGCTAGTGAAGGTAAGTCAGTGCTTGATGTCCCTTCTTATCTCTCGTTTTGCTTTGACAAGAGCCTCGCCTATACTCACTGGCCTTCCTTCCACCTTCACACATCCATTCAAGTAGCAGTTGCCTTCCTAAAATCATGTACATTTTTTAGGATGACTTTTGTGGACTAGGAAGTGTTTTCTGAACTTGATACGCTACACTGAGGGGGTAAAGAATATGACCTGTGCAGCAGCCTCTCAGCTGTGAGAAGAACCCCTTGGAAGATGAGTTGTCAAAAGATGAGGCGCAGCTTCTCTAAAGAACTAGCGAGGAAGGTCAACCCAATACTGTAAAAAATAAACAAATGGGGGAAAAAAGGTTCAGTGAACGTGGTGAATAGTTGAAACAGCCTCAGGGATATTGTGGAATGTCCATCCTTGAAGATATTAAAAACAGAGCTGACCCCAGCCCTCAGCAACCTGCCCTAAAGTTGAAGTTATCTCTGCATTGAGCAGACCTCCTGAGGGTCCACCATCCTCAATTGTTCTTTGACTATAAGATTCTGTGAAAATTTTTTCCTGTTTATAACACAATGTTGTAGCAGTCCTTGCTGCTTTAGCCACACAGGCAGACTGAAGACAGTGTCCTTCAGTCTGTTTTTTAATTTGTGTGGATATTTGTCTTATTTTTGATGTGTAGGACTATTTCTGGCATGTCATAGAACAGAGCTGTGAAGCCCTAATTCAGCAGTCAGAGTGAATGCTCTGTGTAAATGCGAGCATATTTTACATATGTACATACACTGAAATCCAGACTCAATCTTTGGGACATGGGGGAGGAACAACCTCCTGACACAAATTCATTTGTTCCCTTCCTGCCTTCATTTCTTGTTCCCTCGAGGGTTTTTTGTGGTTAGTTGGTTTGTTTGTTTGTTTGTTCGTTTTTTAGCGAGGTGCAGAAGTATATTTAGTTCCCTGGGACCATGACTTCACCAGCATGGATTACGATGGACTCATAATTTCTGGAGGACCAGGGGATCCCATGAAGGCCCAGGAGGTGATTCAGAATGTCAGAAAGGTACAATGTAATAGCCATAGGCTGATTATACTTGTTAATTTGCCATTTTTCTTCAAGTGCCTGAAATCCAAACAGTTGGTTGTATTATTGTGTTATGGGCCAAATATTGTTCAGTCATTTCAGCTGCCTGGAATTTTCCTTGTGTTGGCCCACTGGGAGTTGTCTCCAGTCCAGTAGTTACAACAAGGCTACATAGACCTTTACTGGTACCTTAAAGTACACGGTGCCCTTTCAGGACCTCTGGGACATTAGGAAAGAACAACACTGAATTCAGGGCTCCCACTTAGAATAATGCTGCACACTAAATGGCTGTAATGCAGAGTGTCATTGCTTATTCCCCTCGACTAGTCTGACATCAGGCTGTGCCCTGAGGCTTCCCTCTGAAGCAGGGAAGAGGAGGGAACTTTCCTTCCTAGGCTGTTGCCAAGTCTGTGAGGGAACTAGCATAGTTTTTGCTGGAATTGCTGAACAGAGACACTCCAATATCTCTTGAAAACCTTTTCATTTTAGGTTCTGGAAAGCGACCGCCCAGAGCCCCTGTTTGGAATTAGCATGGGGCATCTAATCACTGGAATAGCAGCTGGAGCTACTTCCTACAAGATGCAGATGGCCAACAGGTGTGCTAGCTCTTCTGCTTTCCAGGGCCCAGACAGAGCACTTCAGCATTGTGAGAGGCCACACCGCAGCAGTGCTTTGCTGCTGAGCTGCCTTAACAAGCGTGTCAGTAACTTCTTCATCCCAGCCATTCTCCTTGCCTTTAATTTAAACTGCCATGTCAGGCACTACTGTTTTTAAGGGTGTTTTGAAAGTATTTGAGGTAATTGATTCCCAACAAACTGAAGGATAGCAAAGTTTCTCCCAGGTTTTATTGCTTTCAAAACAGCTGCCAGTATTGAACAGCTACAGCTGAACTGCTGTGTATGGCCTCGTAGTTACCAGCTCCTCCTAACTGTGGCACTTGGACACATCTGGCACTTCTGTTCTCTGATTCTTTTTTCTTCCAGGGGCCAGAACCAGCCTGTCCTAAATGCAGTGAATGGACAGGCTGTCATCACTGCTCAGAACCACGGCTATGCCATTGACAGCTCTACCCTCTCATCTGGCTGGAAGCCTCTCTTTGTGAATGCCAACGACCAAACGACTGCGGTGAGCTCATGCTTTATTCCAGATACCTGCACAAGGAAGCCTCTAGTCAGCAAAGACTCTCTGGCTTTATGTCACCTCCTGGAAGCTTGCTGTCAGATTCCAGTTAGTTATCAGGGCTGAACTTGATGATCTGACCATCTACTTTACTTGGAGCTTGCCTTAAAGCCCACCATGGGTTAGCCTTTACCACTGTTTGCTGTACCAGCCCAAAGTGTAGGATTGTCACAGTGACTTTAGGATTGCTCTTTAACAGCTGCCTTAATAATTTCCCTGCAATTGGTGGTGCTCACTCAGTTACCATTGCCTCAGGGCTTGTGCCACACCACTGCAAGCCTGTGCCACCATTTTGTTGTGCTGGTTCTGTGTTGCCGAGCACAGGAAAGAAAAATATTGTAGTCCAATTTGGCTTGTTATTGTAAATAGGATTTCAACAACTAAAGCCGTGAAGGAGAGAGACTGCCTTTAGAGAGCAGCTTACAGGATCTAAAGGAGAAGTCCAATGTCAAGTGACATCCATGTCTGAGACAGACCTCAGGCTTTGTAATTGCTCATTTTAAATCTTTTCCATGAGGCCCAGTGGTGTGCAAGTTAGTGAAAGCTTGTTAATTATCAGGAAATCATTAAAAAGAAGGTATTTTCAAAAGCAGTTTCTCCCATAGGAATATGCCTTTCTCTCTTGTTTTGTGTAAATGCCCCACATCAAGTCTGGCAGATCAAACAGTTCTGTTCTGAGCTACCCAGCTGATGATTGTTGTGTTTGTCAGTTGTTGTTTTCTTTATCCTTACAGATGTATCTAAACAGAGACATATGTTACCAAACAAAATATTAATACAAAAAAATTTACAGCTGTTTGGCTCGATTTCTGAAATGGGTTTATTTTAGCTGTGTTAACAAACTGAACCCTTTAATTCCCAGGCCTTCCATGTTTGCTTTAGCTGGAGTTTGGAGACAAAGGTGGTAGGGTTGGACATGAGTCTTATGGATCTAGTAATGTGACATTCCTTTATGTGAGCCAGAACAACATTTCTGTGAGCAGCAACAGCCTCCTAAACCTCTGTAGATAGACACAGGACCGCGTTGGTTTGGCATGGGGCGCACAAACAGGATCAGGGTTAGATAGGCTGTCACGTGCAGTCTGTTCCATTCCTCAGTTTGAAAAAGAAAAAGCATTTCTCGTGGCTGACCTGACCCATCCCGGCTGGACAGGCCTAACACAGGTTTCCAAATATGGACAAGCCATGGAGCTAATCTTTTAAAAGATATTTGTATGGAACTAGAAGGAATATGTGAGCATTCAGGGAAAATGTGACAGACTGATGGAATTCTTTACTCTGAGGGCAGAAACGCACACTGTAATGGATCAGCTGTGGTTGGTAGCTCATTTCTCATTCCTGTCCTATGCCAGCATCCCACCCTGCAGCTCTGAATGGTACTGTGGCCCTACATGAGCTTTTGGGACTCCTTTGTTCAATCCTAAGGGCAGCAAATTATTTTTCCTTGGATTTCCTCCTGAGAGACTTCTCTACCTCTATCTGGAGTTGGGAGTCATGAACAACGGCATCTACAGGGTGGACCTTATAGGAGCTTCTTGGTGCTATCAGGCCTCTCAAACAGGAAATAATTTTTTCCTGGCTCCAACTAAAACTACATACACTGCCTCCAAACTCAGTTTGGGTCTGAAACAAAAGAACTAAACCAAACAACCAGAAATCATTGGATCAGCCATCTCTTTAATATGCCAGCTGGGTGCTCATGGGGAATTGATTTGCCATACATGAACTGAAGAATCAGCACAAATTTTGGGTATAAATACAGTATTCATCGAAAATCCTTCCCATAAGTCCAACCTCGAATTAGGTCATAATTTGGAGATCAAATATCATCCTGGAGTTCATTTGTAGGGCAAGATCACCATCTTGTGTTTGTTTCTTTTGGGGAGGCAGTCATGTCTTCTTTCCACTTGGCAGATCTCCCAGCACCTATGATTGATCCAGTTGACCCCTAACCCCTAAACTAATTGTCCTAGTACCAACTAGGACACATATTTTCTTCATTGGTTGAAGATAACTAGAATTTCCCATTAACTTAAACAATCTTTAACTGAATTTACTTCTTAGCAAAACAATCTCTTATTGATTAAGTTCTTGAAGCATTTAAGCTAATTTCTTACAGGTGTACTTAACAGTTCTCTCTCTGTTTGTTCCCATGTTTCATCTGCCTTCTACATCCTGAAACTGTTTGTAGTCCTAAATGAAAATACTATGCCAAAAAGCAAATTCCTTAGTTGACTAAGATACAGTTTTTATCTAAGCTAAAACTTCTAATTTCCTTAGTAATTTGAAAATGGAGTCCCCTCTCATTTCAGGTCCTTCATAGCTATTGTTTGTCCATAGCAGTAGTCCCCCTTCATCACTCTGCCCAACCCGGGGCAGAGATCAAGCCCCTGTATTCGCACTTAAAGTGAGTTATGGATCAAGACTGTGATCAAAAACCATTTCTATTGTGACAGAACCAATCAAATTGGGATGATAAAACCATTCATTCCTTAACAGCCTTGTTCCAGGTTATCTTTTCTTGCCGGCTTTTCTTCTCTGCCTAATCCAAGACTGACTCTGGAGGGAGACCGGTGTATCTGCTCTGTTAAGTTCTTCCAGATGAGCAGTGCTTGCTGTTGCAGTGAAAGTGATATCTCCCCTGTGCCCCTTGTCCATGCTCAGCTGAGCGTTAGCAGCAGAGCAAGAGGCTCGGGGGCTCATTGGAGGAGACATGGTTTGAAGATTGTGAATGAAAGGGGTGTAAATTTGACAGCCCCTGCAAACATATCCTGAAGTCCTTTGGCCTTCAGTGCTTACAGAGATAATGGGTGGCTTTCTGTTGGCTTGTTTGGTTGCCAAGAGATGTCTAAGAGAATCGCTTTTATTCCTGCAGGGAATCATGCATGAGACCAGGCCAATTTTCACAGCACAGTTCTATCCAGATGCAAATCCTGGGCCGAGGGACACGGAGGTAATGTATGAGGGCTGATCTGGGCTTGCTTTCAGATGGTCTGAGGAGTGCAGGTATGTACCAGCTATGGTGAGAAGCCTTTATGTTGGTGATGGTCCTACGTCTCGGTTTTGGAAATGTCAGGATCCTAACAGAGGGCCCAATCATGCATAGGCTTGTGTCTGCTTAGCTTGATGTGCTGCTAATTACAATCAGCAGCAAGGCATCTATTCACTTCTGTGTGCCTTGGATCAGTGATTCCATTCATACTGTGTGTATGCATTGGGTCCTGGTGGGATTATATCTGCGTTGGAAGTTACTGAAGTGCTTAAGCCTCTGCAGGAATCAGGCTCAAATCTCTTGCAAAAGAGACTGAGAAAGGAATAGCATTTTATCTTAACAGAAAAAATACTAGCCAGATGCTTTGTAATAAAATCATTAACTTTCTAATACATTTTGGTTCCACTTTCAAATTTTATAATTACTGTAGAATTATGTAAATAGATTCACACTTCCTCACGCTGGTTCTCCTAAGTGAAATGAAATTTTAATCCCCAATCTGTGACTTCACACAAAGTCTGTAACAACTGGTTGTGTAGTCACAGAGTATGACTAAGCAGCATCAGGGGATGTGGAAGGCAGAGGAGGCATGTCTGAACATAAATAAGCTATTTAGCATTTCCTGAGAGAGGAAGATGGAAGAATACATAGAAGTGCTTATTTAAATCTTAATTTAATGATGTTGATTAAACCTGCAAATAAATCTCTTGATATCAAGAAGTTTCATAGCAATCTGATTGACTAGTAAATCTCAGAGAACTCAAAACAACTCTCAGCTGTGTGTCTTTTCCGAGCCTGTGCCCTCGCACTGCTGGGATGGGTTTGATAACACAGTACATACCCTGATAGGCTTGCAGGACCCATCCCTACTCCTTCCATGAGTAATTCCCAACAGCCTCCCTCAGGGGCTGTGTGGCAAAAGCTCTGCAGTTGTGGGGTCAGGTGGGAAGCCCATCCCACTGTGTGTAGCTGCCTGCCTTGCCTTGCCTGCCCTGGCTGGAGAATGCCCTTCTGACAGCTGCTCTGGGACCTCCTCTGGAAGGACAGCACTGATTTAACACAACTGATGTTTAGATATCCCGGTTCAGGTCCCTGCTCTGTAGCAGGTGCCATTCCAGATGGTTCCCTGAGCTAGTCTAGTGTATGCTCTTCTGTGTTTTAGCTTTTAATGCTTTTAATGTTCACTCGTTGCGCTGCCAGCCACATAGAAGCAAAACACACAGGAATCTTACTGATTATTCCTTTCTTGAATGCAGCTTTGTCAGAGATGTCAAAGTTGTTAAAAATTTTCAGATAATGATTTCCTCTTCTCAAATGGTGTAAATCTACCTGCTGAAGGCAGCAGAGCAGAGCTGGTTGCTTGAGCTCACAAATGACCTTTTTTTTTCCTTCTTTGCTTGTTATTTATTTAGTTACGCTTTGGTGGTTAAATACATGTGTTTATTTTTCCTAGTTCCTTTTTGATTCTTTTATTTCCCTGGTTAAGAGTGGGAAAGGCAGTACCATTTCCTCGGTTCTGCCCAAGGCTGGAGTGACTGCTTCCAGAGTAGAGGTCAGTATACAGATACTTTTTTCTCATGCCTGTAGGTGAGGCATTTTAACCTAGTTAATTCCTGCTGAACCCACAGCACAAAATGGCACAGAAAACTGGTTATGAAAGTCAGAGGAGGCTTCCCTTATAAAAGTCCTCACAGTCATCAGGCCTCTCGTGTGTTATTAAGTCCCTTTTCTCAAAGAAAGTTTTCAAGTTGTGATGTTTCATGGATTTTTCTTTGCAGTTCTCCAAGAAAGGTACTCTCATAGCAGTGTAATGAGGTGCCCTGGGATAATCTGGCCATGAGATTCTGTGCCTGTAGCAGAATGTTGATGCTTGGTTGCTAAGGAAATAAGTCTGAAATTCCAAGTGTGGGCTGGGTTTCATACAGTTCTGCTGTCTTAGAAGGCAGCTGGACTTTGTGGGCAGCCAAAGTGAGGAGTGGTGATCTGTAAGCACACGATACAATGAACATGTTTATTGTATGCCCTGTTCATGAGTCATGTGTTTCTCTGACAAGAGATATATTAGAGAAGTCCAGTAGAAATACTCTCAGAAGTGAAAGTGCACTGGTTTTGAAAGTGGCTTTTTTTCCTCTTTTTGGAACTTGTGGTCTGTAATTTGAGATTCTTCATTGCTGCACGGTCTCTGTTCATTTCAACATCCACTGTGATAGGACTGACTTTTTTTCATGCTGTTTTGACACTTGTAGGTCTCCAAAGTTCTCATTCTAGGATCCGGGGGTCTGTCGATTGGCCAGGCAGGGGAATTTGATTACTCTGGATCCCAGGCTGTAAAAGCCATGAAGGTGAGGAGATACTCTGAAAATACTAACCTCATGTAACCTACTTTCCCTTCTCACAGCTAAACTGATCTTCCAGCTATGGCATCAATGGGACAGGGAAGCTGGTGAGGATAAATGACTGTAGGGAAATTTAGCCATTTTTTGTTGGTGAACTTGTTGCAGAAGTGAAGTGATTTAACCACTCAGAATCATCTACGAAAGAGAGATGTTGTTGAGGTTTCCATTGCAGTCTTTGAGCAGTTTGTGATGTGTGCTTGGTCACTCCAGGCTTCTCAAACTAAATGGAGATGAAGAGGAGGGACATGGTCAGCTACAAGCCCTGCTGTTGAGTCCTGAGGTGCAGAAAGGGCTCCCTTCCTTTCTAAACTCTTTCTCAGAGAAGGGTTTAGATGCAGCTGAATATTGGCTTAAGCCTTGGACTGTGTTAACAGTTTAAATTTAAAGGAAATGTAGAGGTAGTTGATCTTTCATGATAGCTTGATTGGGTTTCAGGTCTTATCAGGATGAGTATATCCTGCTGCAGTGGTAGCCAGCCAACAACAGCTGAAGGCCTGGCTGCTGCTATGCAAAAGATTTTAAACTCTTTATCGAGGCATGTTTTCTAAGGGGTATTTATTTTGAAGAGGATGAACTTTTTAAAGGTTTTATATGTCAAGTTTTGTTTCCAGATTAGGTCCTAGAAAGGATACTAGGGCAAAAACTCATGCTAGGAGAAGGTGTAGAAGGATTGGGGTTACTACTGGTAATCTAAGAGTTACCTGGGCCCCCCCAGTTCGTGTCTAACCTCATGTGAAGAAGAAGAAGAGCTTGTAAAGGTGTGGCAGTTTCAGAGCAGAAGTAAAAAGGCAGAAGTTGAAGCAAAGGGTTGCAAGGGCAACCTACAGGTGCAGTAAAATCCCACATCCCAAACAATTGGGCTAGAGGATGTGATAACTTTTTCCCCACGGCTGCTGTGAAGACTACCCCGTTTGGAATCATTTGTCTAAATCTGAAATATTTTCCGTAAGGATTTTATACCTTCCTTCCCTTCTCTGTTCCACGTGTTTCCAAGGAAAGCATGCTTCAGTGAAAAAAAAAACAATTTCTCACAGGAAAAAAAGGTCAGCAGAAATTTACAACCAGTCTTTAAGGCAGTATTTTAAGTTTAGCAAAGGAAGGAGAAGAAATGTTATCCAGCACCTGAACTGAGCTCAGAGTGAGAATCCCACTGCTCCAGGTGAGCTATTTCATTGTTCCCCCAAACCAATGTGACCATCAATCACAAATTTTGAACAAACACAGAGAAGTCCTATGGCATTTTCATGCTTCCTGTGTTCTGGGGGAAGACAGCAATTTCTATACTGGTCCTGGCAGCACTTCCAATAGCATTTGCTCAAGGGATGGCTGAATTAATCTACCGGCTTTATTCCTGTTTCTTTCTACTCTTTTAAAAATATTGTCACTATTCCTGTTTTTAGTGGGAGTCTCCATTGTTTCTTAACCTCCACAACTTCTATATAGCAAATCTTTCTCTTGAAATGTATTTTGTGCCTATAATTAATGTTGTTGGCAAGGGATTTGTTTGTAGAAGTTATTGCCTTACAAGGAGTTGATAAAGATCTCTGACTCTGATTTTTCTATTAATGAGCAAACTGTATTGAACTTCTGTCTGTAGCCAAAAGAGTGGCAAAAGTCCCACTGGTATAGCAGGAAACAGGTACTCTTCATTATCATTCCATCTCAATTTCCTATCTGTGACAGAGAAAAAGCAGTGTAAAGTTTTCCCTAACCTTTGTCTTGCATATAGAGGCAGAGATTGTCTTTTGATATGTGAAATATCAAATAAAAAAGTTATGGGACGAGATTTTTAAAGTCCTAACACCAGGAAAATTAAAGCATCTTTACAGAATGACAAAGCAAAAACTGTATTTTTGTTGCTTTTAGTAGTTGGTACAAAAAAATCTGAGAGTTACCTGGTTTCCCACGATCAAAGACCTACTGCTTGGCAAGAAAAGATTACCTTTTGATTAAATTTTTTGCTCTGGCACTTCTGACATCCAACAGAAGACAAACCCGATTATGTTGGACTTTGTTCCTGTCTCCTCTGTGTAACTCCTAGATGTGGTAAACAATTTTGACCAAATTTCTGAATTGAGTGGGAATGTCCATCCCCTCAAGATTCACAAAGAGGCAGAGGCACACAAGTAAAGAATTGGCATTAGTTCAGCCTCATACAAGAGACCAGAAATCTCTTATGGGATGTCAGGAACAAGACTTTTTTAATTCTGCTGTTGTTTTGAACCCCATCTCTCGCTGCTGCTGTTAGCTTCTTTATGCCTACTTTTAATGCAAATTTTAATTTTTCAGGAAGAAAATGTGAAAATTGTCCTCATGAATCCTAATATTGCTTCGGTGCAGACCAATGAGACTGGCTTAAAGCAGGCTGATGCTGTCTACTTCCTCCCCATCACTCCTCAGTTTGTCATAGAGGTCATCAAGGCTGAGCGTCCTGATGGAATAATTCTGGGCATGGGTGGCCAGACTGCTCTCAACTGTGGTGAGTGGGATTACAGGTGCCTTGCCACTCCTTGCAGGCAGACTCACAATTTTTGCCACATAACAAGTAAAGTAATAAAGAACAGGACCAGAGGAAATGGCTTCTAGTTGCACCAGGGGAGGTTTAGATTGGATGTTAGGAAAAATTTCTTCACTAAAAGGCTGGTCAGGCATCGGAACAGACTGGAAGTGTTCAAAAGGCGTGTGGAGGTGGCACCTGGGGACATGGTGTAGTGGTGAACATGGGGATGCTGGGTTAATGGTTGGATTCATTGATCTTAGAGGGCTTTCCCAACCTTTATGATTCTATGATCCCACCACATGTTCAGCAGTTTATTTGTGCAGGCATGCAAGACATTCCTCATACATTGCCTGGCTTACTGAGGGAGTCACTGCTGAGCTGTGAACATAACATCGAACTGTTGGATTTGATACTTAAAAATAATTAATATCTCCTGTTTTTCAGCTTAATTCTTAGTTACGGTAGTTAGATTTGGGATATTCAGACCACCCTGAAGCAGGAAAATTTACCTTCATTTAACTTCTTAGACCAGTATTCATCTGTGCAGCTTTGCTCTGTGTTGCAGATGATGGCCAAGCAGTAACTGTACTAATACCCTGTATTAACATCCCTCTTTGATTTGAGGACAAAAAATTTCATGTTATGGTTCTGAGATCTAGTACTGAAAACGAATAATAAAATTAGCTGTTGATGAGGCCAGACAAGTTGTCAGCTAGTCAGATATCTTTTGAATACTTTCTTCTGTCTAAGTTTTCCAGACTTTCTGGATTCTTTACTGTGAGGGTGGGGAGGCCCTGGCACAGGTTGCCCAGATAAGTTGTGGATGCCCCATCCCTGGAAGTGTTCAAGGTCAGGCTGGACAGGGCTTGGAGCAACCTGGTCTAGGGAAAGGAGTCCCTACCCATGGCAAGGGATTGAAATGAGATGATTTTTAAGGTCCCTTCCATTCTGTGATTCTAATAGTTTTATGATTCTTCATCTACTATCAATCCTCAAAACTGTGTCCTTGTTTACTCTGCAGGAGTGGAACTCTTCAAGCAAGGAGTCCTGCAGCAGTATGGTGTGAAGGTTCTAGGTACATCAGTTGAATCCATCATGGCTACAGAGGATAGAAAGCTCTTTTGTGATAAACTGACTGAGCTAAATGAAAAGATTGCTCCTAGCTTTGCAGTGGAATCGGTAAATCAGATAATTTTGAAGATGTGATTACTGTTACTGTTACCTATTTGAGTTAGTAAAAGTATTTCTAGTTTTGTTGAGTGAAAGCTGAACGCAACTGTGGATACTGTATGCTTGCATCATCACTCCTCAGGAATTGATGCTGAGTCACTGATTTAAAATCAGTGAAAATGCAGTTAAGCACTTGGAAAGCCTAAGCTAATTTACTCATTGACAAGAAAAGTAAATTTGGTTGAAGTGACTCCTGTGCTGCAGCACAAAAATGAGATGTCACGGGTTTAGACTTTGGTGTTTAGGTCCTCAAAATCAGCAGTGCTGAAATATTTCTTGAGGATGGGAGTATGAAAATAAAGAAATAATTCATGGAAACTGAGTTTGGAGTAAACCAAACAAGTCTTAAACCAGGCTATCTGTTGAAGGGGTTATTTCATGCTAAAGTCTCTGGAGACAGACCTGGTAAGGAAAGTGAAAATGTTCATAGAAGGTTGGCAACAAAGTCCACACATAGCTAAAGACAGAAGTTACCTCCCTGAGTGCAGTTTGCTGCAGCATTACAAAGCCAACTGTTATTATTTTCATTTTACCTTCGAACAGTTTAGTGTCTTACTGATGGGATTTCCAGGTAACTGTGGAAGCAGAGTTGAAGCATTATTCACCTGAATTTTTCTCTCTCTCTGAAATGCATTCCCCTCTCCTTTAAGGTTGAAGAGGCTCTGAAGGCAGCCGAAAACATTTGTTTCCCAGTCATGATACGTTCTGCCTATGCCCTCGGTGGCTTGGGGTCAGGCATATGTCCCGATAAGGAAAGTTTGCTGGACCTTGGTACAAAGGTATGTCTGGAACTGCAGGCTCTGGGAATAGAACTGAACATCTGATTATCTTAGGTGCTCTTCTAATAGTCACAGGCATTGGAATTGTACATACCCTACCTTTCACCTTATCTGTAAAACGTTGCCCTGATTCCTTCTACTGACTTGGAAATGGCTAAATGACAGATCTGTTAAATTCATGACAAACAGTCATCATTTGAGCAAGTTTTTCCAGCAGTTTTGGTCTGAAATGAAACATACTGGCCTATATTCACCTCCTTTCGTGAGTGAATGGCACATGAATGAGGTCAAGGAGTTTGAAACATCTGAAATGCTGAGTGATAATGTAGTCTCAGGGACAGGAGAGCTGGGAGCCTCAGGCCTCTGATGTGTTTCTATCTAAATATGGTATTTTTACTAGGTTAAAATCTCACGTAGAGATTTAGCACTAAATTTGACATTTAGTGGCCATCTCTGGCTATGAGGACGGCTCTTTTTCTGTAGGAAGTCCAGGATTGTTGTTTAAATATTTTCTGTGAAAAGTAAACAGGTAACTGGGGAAAACAAATCAAAAGCTTTCTTCCTTGGCAGAAATGCAGAATTTGGGGAAATAAAAGTATCCACGGGGCTCTAAACTTATTGTGTTTGTCTTTTCCTGGTTTGCTGAACCTCTCAGTTTGTCTTGGGGCTTGGGGATCAGGGCTGGCAGACGTGGGAGGAGGTAGTGGGTGCAGTAAAACCCTGTCTTACAGATTGACGGGGAGTTGGAAACATTTTGCTTGCCCAGGCTTGTCCAAAAACCCTGGGAGTGCAGCTGTCTGAAAGGTTTACGTAAAAACACTTTTTGGTAGGAAACCCCCTGGTTGCTCAGTAGGAAATCCTGGTTTTAATCTGCACGTCTTGGTGGTATTTTTAAAAAGGTGAGCCTGCTGCCTACCAGTGCCCCCCAGATTCCTGTCTGCAGGGCTGCTCCTCAGCCACTCCTCTCCCAATTTATACTTGTGCTGGGCTTACTTCATCCTAGGTGCAAAATCTGGCACTTCTACATGTTAAATATCATCCCATTAATCGTAGCCTCGTTGATCCAGTTGATCTGGATCCCTCTGCAAGGCATCCTGTCCGTCAGAGAGTGAACAGCACCTCCCAGTTCAGTATCAGTGTTTTAAAATTTACAGTGAAAACCCACTTGACTTTAGTTGAATTAACTGAAATTTGGATGCTCGTTTTCACAACCCAGCAGAAACTCTGTTCTTTTTCCGTTATGAAGGTGATCTGTAGTAATTCAGTGAACTGGTTTTTCAGGCACTGGGTTCTGAATTGTTCGTAGTTCAGATAACTGAACACAGCTAGTTCAGGTAACCTGGCCTTTAGTTCATGTCTCCTGAGCCCACTCATTGAGTGAGAAAAGACAGACACAGGAGCAGTGAGGACTGTTTTACAGGACAGATTGATAGTGTGCCCATTGCTTCGTAGGATTTAAAATGCAAATTGATTAATATTTTCTATCTTCTCATATTAAGGCCATTTATTCACTTAGATTATGCTCATTTACCAACAAACTGTATTTGTCATTTTTGACTCATGTGCTGAGGAGTGCTTTCAAGATTAGTTTAAGAATAAATCACGACCCTTGCCTCTGGTTAGTGTGCCAATGATAAGCTGCATTATTAGTGCTATTAATGGTGTAGTGTTTGCTGGCACCCTCAGTCCCCATTACTCTGTCATTTCTGCAGTGTTCTCCTACTGAAGTCCTTGGGCCTGCCCACATAAAAGGATGTGTTTGTTGCATGATTGAAGCATTACATGTTTTTACATTCCTATTTGTTATTTATATGCCACTGCAAGCACACCTGCCCTACCTTTTTTTCTTCCATCCTATCACATAACTGTTTTCTGTGCCTTTCGAATGAAGCTGAAGCAATTAAAAATAAACAATGAGAGAAATATAAAATGCTTGTTATCAATGGTATGAGCTTTACATCTTTCAATTTTCTGATTGGTCTGGGGTATCTGGACATAAGCCACAAAAGTCTTAGATATGGAATATGTTCCAATAAGGGTTTTGGTGGGTTTTTTGGGAGGGAAGTTTTTGTTTGTTGTTTTGTTGTTTATTTTGCTTTGTTGGTGTTTTTTGGTGAGTTTTTCTTGTGGTGGTGGTGGCGGCTTTTTTTTTTTTTCCTTACTGTGTGTTTTCCCTGACCTGTTCCCAGGCATTTGCAATGACTAACCAAATTCTGGTGGAAAAGTCAGTCGTTGGCTGGAAGGAGATAGAGTACGAAATTGTGAGAGATGCTGCTGATAACTGTATTGCTGTCTGCAATATGGAAAACATTGATGCTATGGGAGTGCACACAGGTAGGCTTGGGCACGTGGTGGCTCACTAGAAATGGCTCATTAACCCTTTTTATGCAGTGCCCTTCTGCCTGCTGTTATTGACAGTTCTGTGACTGATGAAGTGAGCTCTAGAATTACCCTTGTGGTCTTGGATAAAGCTAGCTGGGGTGTGAAACAGTTATTTTTAAGCTCAACCCACCTCATTTCTAGCAGTGGGTTGGCAGAGACAGTGACCTATGAGGCCAGGATTTACTGCTGCTGAGCTGCTTCTCATTTCCCATCACTTCTGCCTTTTTGACAAACAGGAGATTCTGTTGTAGTGGCTCCAAGCCAGACGCTCACTAATGAGGAGTTTCAGATGCTGAGGGATCGTGCCATCAAAGTTGTCCGACATTTGGGTATTGTGGGAGAGTGTAATATCCAGTTTGCTCTGCATCCAACTTCCCTGGAGTACTACATTATTGAAGTTAATGCCAGACTCTCGAGAAGTTCAGCTTTGGCCTCCAAGGCGACAGGGTAAGATTATTTTAAAAGCCCCGCATGCTACAGAAAAACAAATGAATACATAAAAACGAGGGGAGCAGAAGAAAAAGAGGGAATTTTAATAATTCTTTTCATTCATGTCTTATTTAAATATGTGACAACCACAAGGAAGAAGAATTCCTGCATCTGCTCTCCATGCAGTTAAAACATGGAGGATAAATTTTCATAAAGGAAGACTGAATTTGGCTAGGATTGACCCTTGGAGAGCCAGCCCTACTGGGAGATGGGTTAGTCAGCTCTCCAGGTCTATTCCACCCTGCTGACGCTTTTTACTACAAATGGAAAAACTCCCAGGAAGTGTGTAGGGGGGAACTAATAGCTGTCCTTACAAAGCACATACACTGTATCCATATGTTGGCTGCAAATCATCTCTGGAACTCAGAGGACACAGTTACTGATGAGCTGTCTGTCAGATTGATGCAAATGGCCCAGCTAGCTGTCTTTGTTTTGTTGGCTAATCATAACCTAATCAAGATAAGGATGGTCAGAGCAGGCTGTTTAAAAATTGGCTTCTTAATTGCACTTTGCAGATACTGTTGAGAGGCACAAAATAATCTCCAGTTTGCAGTTCTAGCAACTCTTGTGGTGGTTGAGGAGCCATAGCAGGCCTGAGATAAGCCATGATGTTGGGCAGTGGGTGTTTGACTGTTTCCTTTTCAGATGACAGACTTGCAGCAAAAGGTGTCTGTTAGTGTGGGCTTATTGGGGGTGTGGCAGATGCTGAAAGTCGTGGCTTTGTGGATAAAAAAACAAGGCCCAGATCTAAGGAGGTGGATCTGCAGTGTGTTGAGGTGGGAGGCTGGATGAGCACAGGAACCTTCCATTGTACTGAGGAGGGGTAATCACTTCACATCGGGTTAACTGGATCCACTCCTGGGATTTGCAAAAGCAAAGTACTTCCTACTCTACTGTTCTCTACCTCTCCTATATGGCAGGTATCCATTAGCCTTCATTGCTGCCAAAATTGCCCTGGGGATTCCCTTGCCAGAAATCAAGAACGTTGTGACAGGAAAAACCTCTGCCTGCTTTGAGCCCAGCCTTGATTACATTGTCACCAAAATCCCCCGCTGGGATTTGGACCGTTTTCAGCACGTATCCAGCCGCATTGGGAGCTCCATGAAGAGCGTGGGAGAGGTGAGTGCAAGACTCTCCCCTTCCCTTTCGTTCCACCGTTTGGGAAAGCCAAATTTCTCTTTCTTGGAAACCCTCAGAATATCTGTCTTCAAGGACCTAATGAATTTGAGGGTTTTTATTCAGCTCAAACAATTTTTATCTGGTATTATAATTAATTGAGATGAGTTAGGACTGTGTAGTCTTGGTTATCACAGTGTGGATTCATAAATGGTTTGACTCCTAAGGGAAGAGATCACTATGGATTACCTGAGGTTGACTTCATTCTTAACACTTACTCCAGGACTCTCAGAGTAATTTTTTATTTTGAGGTTCTGTAGTAGTGGTTAATTAGAGTAAAACTTCACAAGTTGTAGTCTGGATTTTCAGGGATGCCCATGAGCCACAGCTCTCAGTTGTTCCCAAGTTATTTGTCCTCTGTGTTAAAACCATATGCCAGATCTCAGCCTACTCCTGCTCTTGAAATCCAAACAGAACCTGTAATTTTGCTCTGAAGTTTTGACTTCTCTTAGTGATTAAGTCTCTTACATCAGAATTTAAGGTGTCTGTACAATTACAGTATTTTCAGACAAAATATTAAGAAGAGGGAAATGAAGCAAAATGGGTAAATCACGCACTTAATTAGTTAATTACCTATCAGCTACCAAAGCAAAATAATAAACTGTGTATTTTTTTCAGTTGCCTTTCTTTCCTAGTGCTTTTTAAGTAGCTATTTTATTAAATTATATTGACATATAAGACCTTCCTAACATCATTGTTGTCACGAGACAACAAGCCTTTATCAGAACTGGAAGAATTATTTAGAATTTGATTTTCATTAGCAGTTTTGGCTTTTTATGGCAGTGAGAGTTTTTTTGTTTGTTTGTTTTTGTTTTCAGTGAGTTGATGCTTCCTGATGTTAAGCCTCTCTGCCTAGGGGTTTAGGGACTGTTTTGTAGGGCTGGGGTTCCCAAATACATTTTCCTTGTGCACAGTGAGCTGTAAACACTTGCTGGCCGTACACACTTGCAGGAGGAAGTGTCAAGTCCTTCCAGTGCTCATATGTCACAGAACTGCCTGAACCTGTGTCCTTCTGCAGGCAGGATGCTGGGTAAAGGCAGAAGGGAGGTCTAGGAAGAGTCAGTGTTGTAACAGTGCAGGGTGAACCGAGGCAGGGATGGAGAAGCTTAAGGGATGCAGTTTGCAGTTGGTGGAGGTATTGAGCAGAAAGGTTAGTCTGCAGAACCTGTCAGCAGGAGGGGGAGTGAGTCCTTGAGGCAAAGAGTTTCTTGCCACTGTGTCTCTATTAGTCGGCACAGTCGTCTCCCCATGCCTGGACTTGAAGCCAGATCACAGCACCTACTGCACTTTTATAAACTGAACAGGATGGTCTGGCCTGGCTTTTCCTGAGCTCTGCTTTGCTGGGCAGTGGGCCTGGAGCTGTGAGAGAAGAGAAAACGATGATTGTATTTTTTCTTTTGACATTTTTCAGCATTGTGTTTGAGACGATTTTTATGCTGTTAGGGTTGCACTGCACTGGGAAATAAAAATGTAGACGTTTGAGGAAGGGTTCTGTTACCTTGCAGATTTCCAGAGAGAAAGGTTTCTTTTCTTATTAGATATGATGTCAAGACTGAAAGAGGGAAACCCCAGTGCTGCTATGCCAAGGAGGAGTAATCCTTTAAGAGAGCCCACGCAGGGTAGAGTTACTGTTAAATGTAATTTGAAGCAAGAGGAGCAGATTTCTCCTGAACCTTAACATTCCCACAGTAAGTTTCTATCTCTAACAGGTTGTTAAACAGAAATATCATTCTACATTACTGTACCCATGCTACTAGATAATGGCTCTCTCTACCAAAGTGCATCAAAACAATTTACAGGGAAGAGCAGTGGCTTCCTGTATTTCACAGACAGGGAGACAGAAGCAGAAAGGAGTCTCTTCTCTGGAACTCCCCGTTGATAATGTGGGCACAGTCAGACCTAGAAGTGGGACTCCCAAAGCTCAGTCAGCTGCATCTGCCTTAAACCATCAGGGCTATCTTATGGAGGAGTCCAAAATCTGTCGTCTTTCCATATGTGTGTCTTCATGGTTTCAACTTGCACTCCTGTGTCACTGAGGGCACAGCTCACCGTAGCTAATGTGGAAGTGCTCTCCATTGCAGGTCATGGCTGTTGGACGCACTTTTGAAGAGAGCTTTCAAAAGGCCCTGAGAATGTGCCACCCCTCAGTAGATGGCTTCACTTCACGTCTGCCTATGAATAAAGACTGGCCAGCCGTTGTAGATCTCCAGAAGGAACTTTCTGAGCCATCCAGCACTCGAATATATGCAATAGCCAAGGTAACAAAAGATAAAAAGGCCTTGACCTTTGTCCCTTGAATTATAGCTACAAGATTGGGTCGACTGTGGTCACAGAGTTTTCTTCACTCCCTTGCTTCCCTCTACCAAGCACACTCGCATTCTATCCCTGTATAGGGTCCTTGCTGATGCTTCCTTCATCTTCCACGTTCAGGTAATGTGTTTGTCTCTTGGTGGCACGGTCTTAGCCAATGCTCATTGCATTCAGGTGCATTCCTGTCTTCTGATACTTCAGTTTGTAACTGAGCGCTGATGGAGATCTGGATCACTTTCCTTTCCTCTAATACTATATTCGTTGGATAAGCATTGGCTAATGTTCAGCCCTGGTTTATACTAGTGGAAGTGCCAGTCAAAACTGGCAAATTTTGCAGATTTCAAAGGAATAAATGAAGCTCTTTTTGAGAACTGAAACAAAGGACGATAAAGAATAGCAAGCTGCAGCCTGGGAGAGCACTGTCTATTTGCAATGGTTGCACTGGTATGGGCTTGAAGCTAAAAAACTACACAACTCTATGTTTAATTTCACAGACAATAAATCCTCTGTTCTTTGAAACAGGCTTAACTTCCCGTAGCGTTCTTATAACCTCTCTCCTGTCACACAGGTCAAATCACTTCAGCCCTCAAGGTGTCTGGGTAATGGAGAGTGCTATTGTAAGGGAACCTAGGGTGTGAAATTATTTCTTGCCTTGTCTCCTCAGTGTTTGCCTGTATATATCAGATGGTAAATGTGGGATTAGTCACATTAGAAGGTAGGTGTGACTTCACATTTGGTTTTGCTGCAGCTAGCTTGTCCATCTGTCCATACCCTCTATGGAGAGGAGAGCTCAGCTGTCTTTTGGTTTGTGCTTTTTAAGACAGCAAACTTTCCCAGCAAATTACTCTTTTTTCTGCCCCTAAGTCTGTGTGGTGGAATGTGTAATGTCGTTGTGCTCATGTGTAGATACATCTTGTTACTTCTCCCCATGAGGGTGAGCGGCTGAGGCTGTGCAGTGTTTGCTGGGTTTTCACGTAGCTGTTCCTCTTATAAATGGCCTGAACAAAAAGCACAAGATGTTCTATGAATGTGGGGCTTGTCCAGCTATTGACTCCTGCTTTTCAAGCCAGGGAAGTGTGTGTCCTCATCTTTCAGCAGCTGTGTTTGGTCTTTATTATAGCTTTTTCTCGAGGCTGAGAGAAAAATCTTGCTGCTTGTCCCTCTGAGTGGCTTAGCCCCACGTCAACACGGGAGATGGGGGGAGATGAAGGGGAGTTTGGGTCCTACTGAACACAGGGTGTTCCCAGCTGCTGACATTTTCACTGGGAGCTGTTGTCAAAAGCAAGGTCAAAGTCTTAATCCCTCTCTCTAAAGAGCTGCCTCTGCCCACCCCAGTGCACTAATTCATCCCAGTTAGTAACTGAGGCAAGCTGTAGGAGCAAGAGATGCTTCTGGCTGCTGGGGCTGCTTGCCCAAAAATTCCTTTCCAGCTTGCTGACTTTTAAAAGCCAACAGTTATTCTCCATTAGCCATCAGCTTTATTTGGAAAAGGATGGAGCCCTTGTTGTATATATCTTCTTCTCCCTCCCGAACCCCAGTACTCGGCTCTCCAAGGCTTTTTACTTATTATCTCTCCTTTGTCTGTTGGATGATGACAACAGTAACTATTCAGAGTTACGAAGGGAGGGGAGTTCAGCTGCCATTCAGAGCTGTTGCTGTTGTGGTGGGGCTCCCTGTTGTCATGTAAAAGAAGGCACCTTGAGAGAGGCTGACATAGATGAGATGAAACAGCCTGCTGAGCAGGGATGCTCAGGTTGTGTCAGGTCTCTCCTGAACCTCTTAAGATTGTATAGAGTTAGTCTCGTGCTTCCATGGTACATTTAAGCTGTACTCCTTCACATAGATTTGAATACAATAAAGTCATCAGAGTGCTGTCCAGGGCTCTGATCAAATCCTACAACGGATTTTCTGCCTGGAAACTTGATTTGCCCCTGTAGTGTGCTGATTTGGGATCAAGAAATGTCTGCAAACTCATTCTTCCCTTCCAGTCTCCAGATTCATGCCACAGGGGTCAATATTTTCTCTGTCCCTCCTCTGATTAACAAGTGGGAGGAAGGATTTTTTTTTTTTCAGTTACCTTTGGTGATCCCTAGGACATTTAAATAAAGTGCCCTAAGCAAACTAAGTATGTGGTCATGCTACCTGTGTGTGTGTGTGTGGCTCAGGGACCACTGACTGAAGTTTGGAGGTCCTCAAGATGTCTGCGTGTGTTTTGTGAAAACAGACAGACAGAAAAAAGACCTGTTCACATCACACATCAACCTCACCCTCCAAGCACGAGGTAATCAGGAGGGGAAGGAGCCCTTACCAGTTGCCTCATACTAGTATTGTACCCAGGAATGAGTGAGAACCCCAACTTTGCTGTTGTCAGTGCTCTGGGATTGCTGAGAGGGCCTCAGGCTTCTCGTTGCAGGCATTGGAAAGAGCAATGTCTGTTGGGTGCCAAGTGCCAGCTGAAGGCTCTGTGTGTGACCGGTTACTCTAAAGGAGCATTAGGAGGTTTTCACCACTGCTTTTGACTGTGTGGTGACAGCAGAACATTGTGCCCAAGCTTGGCAACTGGGAGCAGTAATGCTGGGGTGTGGTGGGCCAAGCTCATGCCTAGATTAACGCTGGAGTTTTCTTCAGTGGCAGTTTCTCTGTCTTTGTTCCAGTGATGCTGCCCTGCAAGAAAACAATTAAGTGTGGTAACAATTAATGAGCCTGGTTACTTCAGCTCAGCAAAGATATCGTGCCGGCATTATCGTTATGGTTGATTATAGTTGTTTTGTCAGGAGAGTTGTAACTGTACGCCCATGGTGAGACCCAAGAAATTGCACTGATAGAAGATATATTACACTGAGGGGCTCTCCAGCATCTTCCTCTGTGGTATTTTGTTTTGTTTGGTTTTTTTTTTTTAGTAAATATTATGGTGTTTTGTAATTCATTGTCTCATAAATAATACCTCTGTGGGGTTCCTTTTTACCCCATGGCTGCAAATGATTGGTTTAAAAAAAAAACATCAATAAGCCCAGGAAGATAATGCAGGGAAATTTGAATGATCTTGACGTTAACTTGAGCTGGAGTGAGACAAGCTACAGTTATGCTGTAGCTGGGAAGCACCACCTGGGTTCAGACTTTCCCTTGCTTCAGAGGTCACATGCTTTGATTCAGCCTTGTATTTCAGGGGTAGATCAAGATTTATTTTCTGGAGCAAAGGGTTCCTTCACAGCTGAGAAATCTGGACATTCCTGGTTAACATTTCCAGATGGGAGGAGGTTGATGGTGGGCCTGAGATTTAAGGCAACTTGAATGGTAAAAGGAGCAGATGAGAAGTCGGTGCTGCAGTCTGAACGTGCCTCCCTGTAGTTGACTAAGGCACGTCCTCAGTGGCCACCCAGCCTTATTACCATTGGTTTGTCTTGTACTGGCTCTGTAAAAAGCAAATTACCTCTCTCTCACCTAAACAAGTGGGTGGTGCCTCCCTACACTGCTTGAGGGGCACAGTTTCTGTCGCTGCAGGAGACGGGGTCGTGGGGGAGATGAACCTTTTGATTTGTACAGCTTAATCTACTGAACCTTTTGTTTTTTATGCTATGTAGTTGCTGCTACCTATTTACAGGCGTAATCTGTATTTGTGCAGCATGTGCTAAAGGGGCTTTTGGTGCTGTCCTGTTTTTGGCAGGCCTTGGATAACAAAGTCCCCATGGATGTCATTCACAAACTCACGGCCATTGACAAGTGGTTCCTGTATAAGATGCACAGCATTGTGAACATGGAGAAGATCCTGAAGGAAGTGAGCAGGTAAAAAAACCCAACAGCCTTGTCCTAGAACACAAGGGAATCCTTCTTCTTCCTTCAGGGAATCCTTCTGCTGGAAAACCTGTGGTAAGCACAGATGCAGTCAATCCAGTGCTTGGAGCCAGCAGCGGTGTCTTAAAAACCCACTTTACTGCCTCACACAGTCAGCAGGAATTTCTGAACACGCTCTTTTTGGTAAAATAGGCCTATTATGTAGTTGGGCATCTTGACTGTTCTCAGGCTTATGGAAGTTCCAGTTTATTTTGGAAAATAGTCACTGCATCTCTGAGGCTAAGGCTGGGAATGTGGATGGCCTGCAAGGAGCAACAGTGTGCTGCACTCCTGTGCCTAGGACAGAGTTAGCCTTCAAACTCACCACAGGACTTGTCCTGACTTATTGCACCCGGGGGGCCACATAACCCTGCATTTTATTTCCAGTCTGGCCTATTGATTTTTAAGCTTTTCTACCTTGCTGTGATCATATAGTACATGTTGCTTTTGTACCGCACTTTCGAACATCTGTAGTTCTGAATGTATTTAAATATAAATCTTCTTTCTTCAAGAAAAATGACCACATAAAAGCAAACAGGAAAGAGAGCAGTAAATTAAAGCGCTGCGCTGTATTTCAGTTCAGCTTCTTGCTGACTTGAGCTTTCCCTTCATGGTTTACAAGGCTGGAAGAGCCTTCTTGCTGAGTTATTGGCTGTGTGTTGCTGGCTTCTCTGCCTCTGGTACCCGCTGTACTCACACATCTCACCAGATGATGGCACTGGGAGCGCACCACAGCAAGTGCATTAGTTCACCTGCCATCATCTGCATTTTGACCAGCTGCACGGTTTTAATTCAGCAGCCCTTGATCTCCCTTGCCCCCTGGAGCAAGCTGGATCTGGAGCTAAACAAAAATAAATGTGGAGGGAGATGCTGAAGAGAAGGAGTAGCTTGATTTTTTTTGGCAGAAATCTTTTGTTTGACTGCACGGGTTTTTGCCCTCTAACATCTGTGTTGCGTTGCATTTGTTTGTAGCCCCTTAAATATATCCATGCAGCTCCTGAGGAAACAAAATGATATCTTGAGAATCAGTTTAAATCCCTCACTGCTGGAGTGGCATGCTCTGGGATGAGGCACTTGGGACCCCAGAGGCTGGCTCCATCCTCAGCTGGTACCTAGGTAGCAGTCTGTACAGGCAGGCTGCTAAAGAGAGCCCTGAGGCAGTATCCAAACTTGTAGTTGTATCAGACACAACTAGTGTTGTGTCCCTTGGAGGTGGATTCATGCAATTCAGCTCAGATTGCCAGTGGTATCAATAGAGTCGTTGAATGGTTTGGGTTTGAAGGGACCTTAAAGATGAAATAGTTCCTCTGCCATGGGCAGAGACACCAGCCAGTAGACCAGGTTGCTCAGAGCTCTATCTAAGCTGGCCCTGATCACCTTCAGGGATGGGGAGGCCACAGCCTCTCTAGGCAACCTGTTCCAGTGCCTCACACACCTCACAGTAAGAATATTTTCCTAATATCTCATCTAAACATGCTGTTTGTCAATTTGAAGCCATCTCAGTCACTCACCAGGCAGATCATCCACTACCATAACTCACACCTTTCCAAGGAAACTGTCTTAACCTCCCAACCTGCACTGGAGGGAGTGGAGGGACTGTGTGGCTGCATTACATTGAAGGCACATTGGCACAAAGGCAAAGAGCCAGGGAAAAACACTCTTGACCTTAACTAAGAGACCAGTCCAGTGAGCCACATCAGGAAACATATCTCTGCAACAGGCAAGGGAAAGCTGACTGAGTGATGCAAATGAGACTTGGCACACATGTGCTCTTCCTGCAGCCAGCTGTTTCCAGTTCCCGGAATGCCTGGCATGAGTTTTACCTGTGCTACAGGATAATTTCCAGTTGAAAAGAATGAACTGTGACACCGTCATTGCTTTGAATCTTTCTGTTGTTGAAATATAGTTACCAGAACCAGAAATAGTCCTGTTCCTGCACACTGTTGCTGGTTACAGGCTGTTCTGACAAATCTGTCCCTTCTTTTTTTTGTCTCTGGATGAGGTTGGGGGTACTTTTGCAGTGAAGTTTTGGATGCATTTGTAGTAATGTTTCTGCCAAGAGTCTTGATTTGGGCCCTGCAGAGCAGTTGCAGAGACTGATAATAAGGAGATGGTCTCTGCCAAGGGGAAATTTAGAGCTAGGACAAGTGGGTATGGCAGACAGTTGGGGAAGGGGGATCAGAGGCAGGTGGAGGCCTTTGTGAACAGTTCAGTGGGGATCTTCCACACATCACATGCTGCCTTGCACCCTCACCCTGTGCAGCGACTCAGAGGGGAGCAAAAGGCCTCACTGATATATGCAAGGAGTCTGTTTAGATGTGAGAAAGATTGTCTGGGATAACGTAAGCAGGGGGAAACTTTCTGTTTGATAAATGTGCATTCTCTGTGGTGTAGAGGCAAGGCCAGCCATTTGCAGAGACAGTAGGGACTGGGGAGGACACTCTGCCCCATTTAGTCTTGGTGCTGGTGAGACTGTAGCTTTGACACGTTGCAGCAATGTTTCCATTGACTGCCTCTGGGCCCGCTAGGATGGGGAAGGAGTTATTTCAGGTCATGTGATGGGGCTGCAAGAAATCAAATGGCCTGTGTTGGAATGGGAAAAGAAAACCATTTGGCGAGTGCTTGTGAGAATATCAGTATCACAGACATGTCAAAGATGTGCCTCTGCTGTTTCTCCTGTGACTTAGGTATTTTTCATTATAAGTGGAAACCTACATTGTTTGACCAGTTACCTTTATATCTAGATGGAATCTTAACTACAGCCTGCCCCACCACACACATGCACACACACAGATAAAACCATGTGCACGTACACACATGGAAGGAGCCAGCACCATCCTGTGCAGTCAGTCCATGAATCAGTGACGGTGGAGGGAGCAGCAGTAGTGCAATAGGATGTGCTGTTTTCAGGAAATTCTTTCCCTAGGCCTTACCAGTCCTGTGAGCGAAAACTGGGGGGAAGGGCCCTGCAGTGATCCCACAGCTGTTCATCACACTGACAGCTCATGAAGGAGATGGAAATTTGGACAGACCGTGTCTGAGACAGTGAGGAGGAAGATGAGATTTTAGGGCCAGAGTTTATGGACCGAGTCCAGAGTGAGTCAGATTTGAAACAGGGTCCAGTAGTATAATCATGCCCAGCACACAGCTGAAACTCAGTAACATCTGGGACATACTTGATTCAAGGTTCTGGTGGCCTGGGTGCAAGGGAAAGCCTCTCTTAGAATTTGCATCTTTGCAAATGTTCTTTGACCATTTGCAGTGAAGGTTTGTTTGCATGTGGCCATGGTTACTTTCGCCTGTTCCTGATTTTGTGGTCTCTGAGAACTATGGCTGTATGCAAGGAGAATGTACAACAAACACCATAAAAATAGAGGTAAAAAAATAGGCAGCTGCGGTGAAATCATCACTTAGGCCTAAGTGGGGATAAAAGTCTGGTTGACTATCAAATGTCAGCATTGATAAAAGGCTGTGAAGTAAAATTCAAGTAAGAAAGAGGAGCATGATAAACCCCTGTTTTGAGGAGCTAAGCCCAGAGATGGTGAGCTTGCCCAAAATCTCAAAGACAGTCTGGCAGTGCAGTGAGTTGCACTCTGTCGCCTTAAAGCTCAACTCTTCAAAATAACCTTAATAAAAACAGCAGATCATCCTTTTGGTGGATACTGAAGTAGCCAGCCTACTAACAATGAGAAGTGATGGCACCAGTCATGTTTTGATAATTTTATATTTGGAGCTTTGTTTTTGAGGAGACTGTGTCCTTGCTCTGTGGGTGTTGAGTGGAAACACCTCCTGGCCTGTGGCTTGCTTGAGAGGGGTAAATGCAGTCCTGAGTATTGCTCTGGTTGTTCTTGAAGAGACACAGGTTAATAGAGGGGAAAGCAGACAAAAGTGGAAAGGTGAAGACCCACTTCAGCCCGGCATTAGTATCTGACTGCTCTGCTCAGCGGCCCCCGGGAGAAGGCATTTATTGCAAATTCCTTTTTGGATCTCACGTCCTCGGGTCCGTGTGTGCTTGGAAAGCTGCTTGCTGGAAGCATGACTCGGATTTCAGAACGTGACTGTGGTGGAGTGGCCACAGAAACACAGGTGCTGCACCAGCGGGTGAGCTGGGAAGCCATGCAGGGAGAGAAGCTCAGACAGGCCTTCAATAGGCTGTGCTCTTCCACAGAGGTTGCTGCATTCCTGCTCTTCTCAGCAGTGTTTGTGCTGACCTGTGTGCTTTTGGGACAGGTCAGAGCTGTCAGGCAGGTCTTGTGTGGGCATCAAGCAGAGCAGGTCCAGTGATGCCAAATGAGGCTGTGCTGTATGAGGAGCTGTCACTGACATATTTGTACTGCTTGTTTCTAGCTAACTGGAAAGATTACTTTTGTCTTCTTGGTGAACTGTGGGGCAGGGAAGACTAGAAACATGTTAGGAATGCAGTACATGAGGAGAATGTAATACAAGCACTGTTGGTTGTGCTTTGTATGGATCTGACTCAAAATACTTTCTTTCAGAGCCATTGGTAATAATTTCACAGTGGTATTTTCCTTCAAAGCATCTGTAAATTTGTGAAAACACGGTATGCATATTTTCCTTGATACAGAGGATATACAAGCAGTGCCAAAAAAAGCCACTGGGGAATCTCTGTAACCAGTATGTACAATACCAGAAGCAGGGAAGTCTGTACTGTGGCCTCCCAGCAAAGACCTAAAAGCTCTCTTTTACCAGGGGTAGAAAATGGGCTTTGAATAAGCACCTGTGACCCATTCCTTGACTATGTTTTGGTGTGAGCTGTTGCTTCAGTGCATCACTTAATCCTCTGAGTGAGTCATTCAGGTCTTAGGGCACAGTGTGAGGTTCATGTTACTTAAATCAAGATGTCCAGAATGGGATTTATTAGCCAGGGGAGCAGAATGTTAAAGGTTCAGATGCTGGAGTGGCAATTGTTCAGTGAGTGAGATTTGTTGGTTTACTGCTCCTGCTTCCCTGAAAGCTCCTTTGACAGCTCTTTATCAGTCATCTCATGACTTTCTCAGGAGGGGAAAACCGAGATCAATCTGTCTCCTTGAGAAGAGAAGCAGGGAGACAATTTTTACACTAATCTCATTGTTTTAATTGTAGCATGTTCAAAATTGTGTAAAATATCAGGAGTAATCAAGGAAGCACTAGGAACCTTGCAGCAGAGCAGGACAGTAAGTAAAGGAAAAATAATACATCTCTGTACATAATTCTGACTGAAATCTAGCAGGCTTTTGAAACCCTCCAGGCCTATGACTACTGAGAAACGAAGAGCTTTCTCAGCGCTGGACATAAGGCATTTTGCTTCCAGTACTTCTTGCTTTTGGCCCACTTTACTTACCAGAGTAAAACTGGGTTTAAATTTTAATCTGGGTTTAAATCCCTACAGACTGCAGAGTAGCTGAGTTCAAGAGAGGTGGACTAAGCTGGAACTTGCTCATCTTTGCAGCTTCTCTGTGCATATCCAAGCCTCCTGTGTAGCTGTTGAGATGAAGCAGAGGTGACCTACAAGGTGAACGTGTGGGTTTACAGGGCAGTTGTTCACTGCCACAGTAACTGTGTCCCAAATGCCCCCAGCTCAGGCTTTGGTCTCTGCTCACAAAGTATTCCTGGTCCTTTTGATCAAGACCCATTCACATCAGCCTGAGTAGTATGTGGATGGGCATAAACTTGGCAACAGACAGAAAATGAAGCAGAACCTGATTTGAGAGACAAAAAGTGTTTCTTCCCATATCAAGCAGGGACTTTCTGCTGGCAGGAAGTTTATTTATTTATTCAGTATTACTCCTGAACTGGTGGATCAGATGAAAGCTGGTCAAGTGGAAGAGAGGGCTGTGCAGAAGAGAACAGGCTCTCCTGATAATTGCAATGCTGCCAGCATTCCTCCAGTCAGTTAATAGATTTCCCCAGGTCCTCTGTGCCAGGTGAAAATTTCCTAATTAAGGGGAATTTATTCCACTTCCTTTTATTGTTTATCGTTGAAGAAGTGACTGGATGGAGTTCCAAAGATGACAGGGTAGAATTTTAAACTAAAAGCAACAAATCAACACTGGAAGCTGAAATGGAGTCACAAGCGAGGTTGGGGAAAGGCTTGTATTGTTTATAAACTGCAAAATGTGCAAGGGACTTCAGCTTTCTGAGGAAGTGAACAGCCAGAATGATTATGGCAGTGTGCTAAAACCTAATCATCTGGTTTTGAGGCTCTGAAACTCCTGACTTTCATTTTGAAAGGCAAATGTTAGGAAAAAGAAGCATTATAGACATCTGAAATCATGGCCACTTAATCTTCCCTTGTTTCAGATCGCTCCTAAATCAGTGAGGGAGTTTAATCTTTGGAAGACTTTTTGCTCTGAGTTGGGAAGGTAAATGTTGTCCCAAGGGCAGGTGGGAAGCAGTGACATAGGACTGGTTCATGTGTTGGGGAATAGCCAGAAATGACAATTGTTGTCTTCTCTTTTTAGCTCTGGATTTCTGGTGACCTTGAAGGGTTATATGCACTCAAACATTCGAAGACATCAGCCTGATTTTGCCTCTTGCTGGCTTTAGTGTCTCCAGCAAGTCTCAAGGTCTTTCCTTGAGCAAAGGCAGTGGGAATGTTGGATCTTAAAAATGGACACTCCTGAACCTCTGCTTGCTTGCTATCTGCAAGATGAGCATCACACTACCATACTGTTTGCATGTTTCTTTATGTTATTTCCATGAAAGCTGAGATATAAATGCTAAAAGTTACCTTTATTAGTAAGTAGAAATTATTCTGTTATGGACAAGTATGTCCAATACGTGCAGAGAGGCAGCGTGTTTTCCATACCAGTGTTAAAGATTCGCAATTCTCTGATCCAATTCCCTTTGAAAATGATGGAGTGATTCTGCTGGCTCCTATCATGTGCTGGGAGTAGCAGAGGGGAAAAAAAATGCATGGAAATAAATGCACAGCTCCATTTCCCTCTTTGGGACTCGGCTTTTCTTTTGCATGCTGGTTTGTCCTGTACAAAAACACCTACCTGTCTGCATGGATTAGTAAGTGTCCTAACCTAATTAAAGATGCTAGCCCAAGGCAAATGAATCATGTCGTGAAATAATCACTGCTTTTTTTCGCCATCCTGCTCGAGGTGTGGGGGGGGTGACATTGAATGATATTGCTATATTGAGATACAAAAAATGGAGTGGAAACAAGCTGCAAATGAAGGCAATTTTCTGTGTCTGTCAGTAATCAAATGACAGGCAGCTATGTGTGTTCCTGAGGCAGAAGGGAGGGAGGGCAGGGGAGTAAACACCACTGAAACAGGCTCATTTTCTTAGGGTCATCAGGTCTGCTCACTTCTACTTAGGGAATGCTGAGTCTAGGAGAGAAATCTGATGTGGTTGTGTCCTTCATAGCCAGTGATGGCTAGCGTCAGTTTTGCCAGAGAATTGGTGGATTTTGCTTTGTTTGCTCCTGTAAAGACCCATCCATGCATTCATTTCTGGTGTTCATGGTTTATGTAAAAAGTCCTGCCTCTGAGATCAGAAAGCAGAAAGGGCTGAGGAGAGGCAGAGGAATTTGTGGTGGTAGTGTCAGTGCATGGGAACCACAGTCTTTAATGTACTGCAGGGCCACAAAGTGGGTCTTACTTTGGGATATCCAAAACCTGGGAAGCTCAACCTGTTGGTTTAGGAAGGACTGTACATAGAATCATTTGGGTTGGAAGGTACCTTAAAGATCATCTAGTTCCAACCCCCTGCTGTGGCAGGGACACTTTCCATTAGACCAGGATGCTCATAGCCCTGTCCAACCCAGCCCTGAACACTTCCCCAACTTTCCTTCTGACTCTAACAAAGAGGAGGATTTGCTGGAGTAAGAAGGGTGATATGGTTAAGGGTTCTGGAGAAGATCCGGGGTGTAGTTGTACTCCTGCCTGGAGTTGTCTGAGGGCAGCACAAGCTGGTTGTGGTGCCAGGCTGGGACACAGTGTGGAGGATGGGAGTTACAGTGAGCATTTTGGGAGACAGTGTGGAGGGTAGAAGTTATGGGGACTGTTTCCTTCTTGCAAATCCTCACTGTCTTTCTGCTGTGCTACTGCTGACAGGTGGACTGCTCTGTTCTCATATTAAAGGGCTAGGAGAGGTAGCATTGGGGAATTCCTAGAGCAAACCCCACCTACCCAGGGATTTGAGTCCCAAAGTTTCTGGTCCCCAGTTCTGCTCTCAGAATAGCTGTTTTGGCACTTGTGTGATTCTCACCTGTTTAACACTAGCCTGACTTCACGCAGAGCAGCAGAGCTTCTCTGTGCCTAAGCCAGAGTGGAAAGTACAATTCAATGACACTCTTTCATGCTTCAGCTTCCTGACACATTCCAATAAAGCTGTCTTACCCCTCTTATGCCACTCAAATAAAATAATACTGTCTATTTAAAAATACTGTCAAGCAAAGGACATAATTCAAAGCTCTGATTTAGGAAAATTGCTTGTTTGTTAGTAATTTCCTTTTTCCTGATTCAGAGCTTGCTTGTTCATAAAATATTGATTTATTGGGCAGGCAAGGATGCTCTTGGCAATGAAGATGAAAAGCAGACCGTGCTGATAAAAATACATAGGCTTTTTTATGTTTTTGCAAAAGCTAAGCTTGGAAAAGGTAGCTTAGAAATGAGGGCAGGCAGAAACTATAGGGGCTGTTGGTGGAGTCAAAACAAAGTGGAACAAAGAGTAGGAGAGAAAAGAGTGGAGAGAATAAAGAGGGAATGGAGAAGATGAAAAAAATCAAGAGCAGAATGGATGGGGAGCTGTTGATCTGCAGGGGTGGCAGGGGGAAAGCAATGTGTTTGAAATTAACAGTAAAAACTAAGACTCATGAAAAGCAAAACCAGGAAAACAAGGTATGGAAGTATTGAGAGACGCTGGTTGCAAATATGAAATCATAAAAGGTGTCCCTACTTTACCCACTCTATCCTCCCTCTCCGTTTTCCTCATGTAAGCAGCAAAAATGATAGGGAAAAAAGATATATTGAGACTGTCAGAAGGAAAAACTCACCTTGTGTGTGAGCCTCTGAAGGTCATTTCTGCTCTGGATCTCTGAAATCAGAAGCTTTTTCCAAAGACCAGCTGTTTCTGAAGTAAGGCAGAGCATTCTCAACAACAGAAAGACTTGTTTGGGACCAATTGTAGTGTTTTGAGACCAGTTGTCTCCCAGCTTAGCAGGGTTGGGTCACAGTTATGCCTCTGAATGGCTTGTCCCAGAGCTTCAGGGTTGTTATGCCTTTGTGTGGAGTGGGCGGCTGCAAAGAGAGGCAGGACACACGTTAGGATTGAGCCAGCCCAGTGTGGTGAGGCCTATATTTTAAAATATAGACTGGGAGGAAGAATGTAAGGAAGATATTAAATTGAAGTTTGAGCATGTAGTTGTAGGGATAATGAATCCAAGAAAGGAATCACTACAGGTCCTCTGTGGAGGCTGGCACGGTAAATGACCATATGATTGTTGTGCATATGGTGAACTTGTACTAGCCTGATGTAGAGTGCTGCCTGGGGGATGATGGACATCATCATGAGTCACTCATTCCTGTCTCAAAAATGCAGGAAAAGAAAGACTTTACCTCACAGGTGTTTGTGGTGGGTGCCCAGTGCAAAAAAAGGTCTTTTATGTATGAGTCTTCTCCCTTTTCTTGCCTTCATGTGCATGGTCCTGTAGCAACTCTATGCGGTGTAGAGGACACAAGCACTGAAGTATCTTACAGGTATCCCTGTAAAGCCTCATGCAGAGTTGTTTTTCTTATTTAATCTCAGTGAAACAGTTCCAGAAGAGACACTGAGAAGAGCCAAACAGATGGGGTTCTCCGACAAACAAATCGGGAAGTGTCTGAGGTTGACTGAAGCCCAGTGCCGTCAGCTCAGACTGAGGAAGAATGTAGTGCCTTGGGTGAAACAGGTACGTGTGTGGTCCTGGGGGGACTTCCAAGAGTGCGAGGAGCAGGAGACCTCCGCGTCTTTAGAAACCCCTGGCACTGCTAACACCCACAGGAGTTTTGATGTTGACGTGAGAGGATAACACACTTCACCCATGTGGCTGCTCTGCAGGCATCGGTGTAAGGCCATGAACATTCCCGAAGAGACTCAGAATATTCTTGTTTCTACTTTGCATGTCTGAGGGGGAAACACAGCTATGGGGCTTCAGGGAAAGGCTGAGAATGTTGGCCCACCATGGTGTGACCGTGAAAAGCATACTATGTCTTCTCTTTTGGTAGTAACTTTTTATAGGCTGTAATTGAAGTCTGCTACTCTTACGGGTTCATTTTTTATTCATTGTGATAGCATGAGCCTAATGAGCTGATCTGGTATTCGTTGCAGTGTCACTCAGTGTTCTGCTGCTGCATTTAAGGGTATGTTGGTATTAAACTGCCACCAGCTGGTTTTCTGTCCTTAACGGGGGAAAAAAACCAACCCAAGCTACTGAAAGTTTCTGAAAGAACTTGTCTGCATCCTCAGGCCCAATTCCAGATCTCCTTCTGTTCCCCAGCTGCTGTTTTTCTTCTGTGGCTCACCTGGCCACAGAAACGTGCCTGGCCTTGCACTGAGTTCTCTCAGCTGCATATGGCACTGCAGTGCTGGATTGATTTGTGTGCCAGGGTACCCTTAATAAGGTCATTCTGCTTGTGCCTGCATGTGTGCCTTCAGAGCATATGTTTCTTGTTGTTCCATGAAGTACGTCACAGTATTAGCTACGGTAATGAGCACCAGACACTTAACAAGTTGCTAATGACATAAGGTCACGTTCTCCATTATTCTCAAGAACTTGGACAGCCACTGAGGATTCCTGAAGCTGCTTGAAGGTTGGACAGGTTTTTAAATGGTGTAGTGTGTAAAATTCGTGTCCAGACTGCTTTAGTATTGTTCCCCGTTGAGTATTCTGTGTAGAAACTTTTCAGTTGTTCATTCAGGGAACTTCAGCACTTGCTGGTGTCCTGGATGGACTAGTCACGATGTATAACATGCAATGAGTAGTTGACACAAATAGTTTGGGAACAGCCTAGGAGGAAATTGTTCTGGGTTCCCTGGCAACTAACCATGTTAGAAATCGTTGAAAATTGCATATAAGGGGTGGTTGAAAATCACTCTTGCTTTGTGTGCCATTTAATTATCCAAGCATAAGTTATACTGCAACATAAATATGTAGTAACCGTGCTGCTACTCAGCACCATCTCGAAGTGATACTGTGTGCATGTCTATATTCAGTGTGGGAGTCAGATGGAATCAAGAGAGGGGTGCGAAGATTCCAGATGGCCCTGCTAAAGGGGGCAAGAGACCTGAAGAAATGGAGATCTGTGTAACTAAAGCTGCCAAACAAAGGAGAGAACGAGGGCCTTGGCGAGTAGGGAAAGTTCCTGGGCTGTGTAGGTGTTTCACTGAAGAGGTGCAGAGCTGAAACTATAGCTTAGAAAGAGATAGTAGCGTGTTGACTGAACTGTAGGGTCTAGGGGGAAGGTCGTTTATATGCTGCACAGAACAGTTCAGATCACCTTCTTATGAGAGGAAAACAATAGGACAGAAATAGGAGCAGAAAAGTGAAAGAGGGAAAAGAAAAAACCCCAAACACCTGCACGTAGGAAGGATCAGGCACTGGCCAAGTCACAATCCCTTGTCTTCTTCCCTGTACAGATTGACACACTGGCAGCAGAATACCCAGCAGTGACTAATTACCTCTACATCACATACAATGGGCAGGTAGGCACCTTGAGAAACAAGTCTCACTGCTGTCTGGTTTGATCTCTCTATGCCACGTTATTTCTGGAGATCTTGCAAATGTCTCAGTCTGTGTACCAATTACTTTGGATGGTGTTACATATAATCCCCTTACAGAAGGCCAGGAAATTCCTCTTGCTCCAATCCCGTTCGGCTGTATTTGGCGTTAATGCCCCTGTGTTGTTAAGATCCTGTCACGTATCACCTGTACGTGCAGGGAATGCTCAACTCTTGTTTCACTAATCTCATCCCAGCATTCATTTTTGGTGTGAATGTTCACAGCTCCTTACGGCTGCTCCAGTAGCCAAATCAGAGGTGCTGTGTCTGCTTTGGTTTGGGTGCAGCACCACTAATTCCAGGAGAGTTGCACTTGATTTACACTGCAGTAAATGAGATCAGGCTTGAGCCCTAAAGGATCAGGCTGTTTGATGTGAGCTGAGCACCAGAAACTGTTTATTCTGAAAAGCACAGAGTTAAGGTGCTGTGGAGCACATATCCTAATGCCTTTTTGCTCTCCCTTCTCAGGAACATGATGTAAAATTTGATGACTGTGAAGTGATGGTGTTGGGCTGTGGACCGTATCACATAGGTAAATCTTTCTTACAACTCCTCTGTTCTCCTTGAACCCTCGAGCCTTCTTCAGACATTCTTGTGGTTCATTTGTTCCTCTTCTCGTATGGTGACAAAACCCTCCAGAGTAACAGTGCTCAGGACATCAATTCCTAACACAAAGTTTGCCTTTTATACTTGCTTGGGGACTTCATTTCACACCCTGGAAAAAAAAACAGGAAAATTTAATTATTACTTTTCACATAATACTTAGTTCTAATTTCTACAAAGCTTTGCGGAATTTTTTAGTCTTATTTTTTTCACATGTTAAGGTCTAAGGACCTGATACCTTGTATCAGGACGAGTTTGTTGCTCCCACACCCATCTTACGTGTTTACTGCCCTCTCATGATGGTGTTACACGCTATGCATTCTACAGCTGCAAGTAGAGGTGTCTCTGAAAATATTTGGATCTTTTCAGCTGCTTTTGTATAAGCAATTCTCTGTATGCTGTTTTTTTCAGCCCACTCAGATCATTATACAGCATAAGAGTTTCTTCATGGCTGTGAGTACTGAGTAGACAGACTGCTGGCTTCTATATATGATGACTTTCACTTTTTCTATTAATGGATCCCTCCAAATAGCTTGCAATTATTGACAAGGAAAAAATTGCTTGTTATTCAGAAATATTTCTGCTCTGCATCTTGCAAGAAGTGGTGATGGGTTTTGAAAGCTGAAATTGGAAACTCCATCCATTTGTTGTGCTTGGATGGAGAGGTCACGTGCTGCATTCCTGTTGCTGTTTGTAGGACATGTCTTCTTGAACTCAGTTTCCAGCATGAATGTTGAGAGGAGTGAAATCAGAAGGAATACTTTATGATTATGCTTATTTTTTGTGAATGCTTCCTTCAGTCAGTGTGCTGTGTGGCGTGGTTATAAAAGCCATGGAAAAGATGTCAGTGTTCTTTCATAATTAAATTGAATGTATGTGAATCCAATGACCACCTCATTGTTTAGATTAGCCATGCAGATCTGGTCTTGGTCTCACCTGCTCTGTAGCTTTGATTAGATCAACACCCTCACTGAAAGAAGTTGCAATTAAATAGAGGCTGCTAAAGGAAGCCATTACTTGTACCTCTAAAAGACTTTTTCCTAGGTGCAATAGCCAAGTTGATTTTTTTTTTTTCTCTCTCTGGTTATCCTTTTAAGGCAAGTAAGCAGAGTGCTCTTCCTCTGTGCTCTCAGAATTGTAATCAGAATTCAGTGGGATCAACTTACTGCTCCCTGCCAGGTCAGAAAGGGCTAAATGATTTGGATGGAAGTTTAACATGTGACATTATTTCTATTTCCTTTGTGAAAATTGAGTTTTAGATTAAAAAAAACCCAACGTTACATATCTTCTTGAAAATATCCTGACATATATTGCAGGAAAATCTTGAATATGTTTACACTTTTGCAAAATAAAAATATTTAGGGGAAGTGTGAAGCCATTTCAACTCATGCTATGTTCTGTGTTTAAAAAGAAAATTGTCCAAACTGAAGTGTATTGTTTTGAATTTTCTTGTTAACTGATATGCCAGATAGAAACATAATGTGAATCAGTGCTATTACACACTCTTGAACTTCAGTCTTTCACCCTTCCTTCACACGTGAAGCCTCTCGCTCCCAGAGAGCCTGAGCTGCAATAAGTGACCTGTGATCCATGAGGTGTTGTTCAAGAGCAATCCTTGCTCTTCACCTGCTGCCAGGAAGGGATCAACTGCCCTGAGAGGGGATTTGTTTGTGTGAGTCAGCCCTGAGAGCAGTATAAATATATTCCATTACCTGCCTGGATCAGTAGAGTACTCTGTCAATTTTAAGGTGTGCACTTGGGTTTTAATGTGATTGAAACCTGAGAGTGAGTTCAAAACCATGCCTGTTTTGATGTAGCCATTATCTTCTGAGGAGCAGTGTCTGTTTATGTTACAACAATCATTACTAGTAATACTATTTATTTCCTGTCTTCCCTTTTCCCATGTTTGGACATGACCATTACTGGATGTGCTTGGAATACACGTAGAGGTGTTCAGCTGTTTTCCCAGGTTGTATCTGAAGCAGTCAGATGGGGGCTGCAGATGACCACTGTGCTCCAAAGTTGAGGTTTCCTATGCATATAAAAGCACCTGAGTAATGGAAGGGGAATACAAAAAGTGTACAAACATCTAGTGTCCCTTCTGGGAAACATCCAGTTTCAGGTTTTATTTTCTCTCTTTTCTGTGGGGCTTTAGCTGAGGCTTAGACATGTTTTGAGGTTCTTGTTTGACAGAAGTATGGAAACAACTTGTGTGCCTGTCAGTGAGTGACCTGTGCCAGTCATCTCTTTTATGACTAGGTGGTGGAGGCAGCAATTAAACACAGCCTGAATTTCCAATGTATGTTGTGACACAATTATATATATAAAAATAATATCAGTGGTTAATGATCATGTAATGCCTATGAATGCAGCATGATGAGGCCAAAGTTTTCTTGAAGACTGTAAACATAACCATTTAATGCTGTTCTTTAATATACATTGTTCTCTGTTTATGTTACCCCTCTTAGATGTTTGAACATAGAAATTTATAGGGTAGCAGCTGTTCACACAAGCCTTGATGAAGTTCAACAAGGCCAAGTGCCGGGTTCTGCACTTTGGCCACAACAACCCCCTGCAACGCTACAGGCTGGGACAGAGTGGCTGGAGAGCAGCCAGGCAGAAAGGGACCTGGGGGTGCTGATCGACAGGAGGCTGAACATGAGCCAGAGTGTGCCCAGGGGGCCAAGAAGGCCAATGGCATCCTGGCCTGGATCAGGAACAGTGTGGCCAGCAGGAGCAGGGCAGTGATCCTTCCCCTGTACTCAGCACTGGTGAGGCCACACCTTGAGTATTGTGTTCAGCTCTGGGCCCCTCAGTTCAGGAAGGACATTGAGGTGCTGGAGCGGGTCCAGAGAAGAGCAACGAGGCTGGTGAAGGGACTGGAGCACAAGCCCTATGAGGAGAGGCTGAGGGAGCTGGGGTTGTTTAGTCTGGAGAAGAGGAGGCTCAGGGGTGACCTCATCACTCTCTGCAACTCCCTGGGAGGAGGTTGTAGCCAGGTGGGGGTTGGTCTCTTCTCCCAGATAATCAGCAAAAGGACAAGAAGGCAGGGGCTTAAGCTGTGCCAGGGGAGGTTTAGGTTGGATATTAGAAGGAAGTTCTTTACAGAGAGAGAGATCAGGCATTGGAATGGCCTGCCCAGAGAGGT